TGCTTTTTTAGTATTTATGAGGACTTGGGTTTGATTCCCAGCAATATAAAACCCCAAACAGAAAACAAACTAAAAGATAGATATTGAGGTTTAACACAAGGTAGGTAGAATCATGGATGTTTTAATTTTCTTCTTTTAGATTATCTGAGTTTTCTAGTATTTCAGGAATAACTTTTGAATTGCTTTTAAAATGAGACATAAACTTTATTCTAAATTGCAAAAGAAAAAATAAAATAAAATTGATGGAGTGCTCATTCACTTCTATCCCCTTGCTTAGGAACATTATGCTATCGAGAGAGAGATGGCAAACCTCAGAAACAGAGGTCTGCTGAGATTTTACCTCTACTCTTGACTAGTTGGGTGACCTGTTCTATGAGACATTATTGTTTTATTATTATTTTGGTATCAGGGGTGCTTAACCACTGAGCTGCATCCCCTGCCCTTTTTATATTTTATTAGAGACAGGGTCTTGCTGTGTTGTTCAGGGCCTCCCTAAGATGCTGAGGCTGGCTTTGAACTCACAATTCTCCTGCCTCACCCTCCCAAGTGCTAGAGTATGAGACTTTCTAAAAAAAAATTATTTATTTATTTTTTATGTGATGTTGAGGTTTGAACCCAGGGCCTCAAGTGTGTGAGGCAAGCACTCTACCACTGAGCTACAGCCTCAGCCCAGCCTACAACCTCAGCCCAGGAGTATGAGATTTTTTAAGAGGTCTATTTCTTCATCTCTAGATAGGGACAGGGTACCTATGTTACACACTCGTGATGGGTGTGAACACAGGCTCTGAGCCAGACAGACCTGGGTTCAAATCCTAGGTTTTGCCACACACCAACACACCAGCATTTTTTTTTTGGAAGTGCTTGGGATTGAACCCAGGCAGGGCCTTGTGCATGTGAGGCAATCACTCTACCAACTGAGCTATATCCTTAGCTCCTACACACAGCCTTTTGACTTTGAATAAAAAAGTTTGTTTCCTTATCCCTAAAGTAGAGATGACAATAACACTATCTTTTTGTGAGCATTATTGAGGTAATCAAGTTGTTGGCTCAGTACTTAGTATATGGGAAGCTCTCTATAAACAGCAGTCATGTGGACAGGTCTAAAATGAAGTAGTAGGGGGCTGGGGATGTGGCTCAAGCGGTAGCGCTCTCGCCTGGCATGCGTGCGGCCCCGGGTTCGATCCTCAGCACCACCACATACAAACAAAGATGTTGTGTCTGCCAAAAATTAAAAAAATATATATAAAAAAAATTTAAAAAAATAAAATGAAGTAGTAGGTTTTTAAAATCAATGTGATTTCCTTCCCTTTTTTCCTTCTTTTCTTCCCCAAAAAGAGGCAGTAGAGAAGGTACAGGTGGAAAGGGTGGTATAGAAACAAGAGGAGAAAAAAAGAAGCGTAAAAAAAAGAATCAGCCAGGACTAGTGGCACAGGTCTGATATTCCAGCAGCTCAGGAGGCTAAGGCAGAGGACTGTGAGTTCAAAGCCAGCCTCAGCAACTTAGTGAGACACTTAGCAATTCAGTGAGACCTTGTCTCTAAGGAAAATGTAAAAAAGGGCTGGGTATGTGGCTCAGGGTTAAGCACCTCTGGGTTCAATCCCCAGTACAAACAAACAAACAACAACAACAAAACCCAAAGGGCAAAGGTTCTCTCCTCAAAGGTCCTTAGATCCCTCTGGAATAGTGTCACTGCTTCCTCAACACACACACAGGACCCCAATCCTATTGTGAGCAAATGATCCAGACAGATGGTCAGTGGCCAACCCCTCCTGAAGCCCCAGAGTCCTCTCTGCTGCAGTTTAACACTGTCCTCCTCCTGTCCCAGCAAAGACTCCCCAAACAGCTGGCTCACTAATCCAAACCCCTTCTTCTTCCCCATGAAGGGACTGATTTAGGGTGATGGGTACTAGAACTTAGTGCTCTCTTCCTGGCAATGCCAGACTCTACCACCTCACTACCACCAGAAGAACTAGGGAACAGCAATGGGTTTTTATAAGGGTTCTGCCATCCTCAATTGTGAGGAAGTTTAGGAAATCCCAAGCTACTTCCAGAAACTTCTTGTCCCCTGTCCCCATAACTAGTTTCATAAAGGGATGACCACTTATTTGCGTGTTTTCATGTTTGCTGGGGTCAACAATGTAAGTGAACAGATGAGTGGGAGGCTGGAGAGGGCAGCCACCTCTTCACCCTTGAGTGTTGAGACATGAGGGAGCAAGGTCTTTAGCTCAGAGAAACTTCAGTGTCCTGACAGGAAGGCTCAGGAGGCATTTGGGCCCAAACCTTTTTGAATCCCTTCTGGTTTTAATTTGGTATGACCCTCTGGCTGAAAACCAGAGCTCCCAGGGTGATAGACACTTCCCTGAGAGTTGGAAGGGAAAGAGTATTTAGAGGGAGGCAGCAACTGTGGCTGAAGAGGACTCTGGGTTGGGTGGAGAGACCTAGTGTGCATTCCCTCTTTGACTGAAATCCAAAGAGGTAGCAGAGAAGGGAGCTAAAAGGTGGGACTCCTCCCTTAATTCAAAGGGACAGCTATTTCCTCCCATTGCCTATGGGGTCTTGATCTCTTTTCTTCCCTCTGATCATTCAAGGCCATGGTTGTCAGCAAGTTTTAACTCTATAGAGAGAATTTTTGCTCATTCTCAAGCCAAGGAATTTGAGGGGTGTAGGAGGGAAAAGGAGTTTCTCCATGGGCCTGACCTGGGGAAATGAGTTAGGGGAGCCAGAGGATGGGGAGAGAGAGGAAAGAGAAAGCCACATATGAGTGGGGGAGGGAAGGATGCAACAGCTGGATGGAGAGGAATGCTACAGCTGGAGGGGACTAGGGGCATCACAGGTGGAAGGTAAGGGGGTCCATTGCCAGGCCATCAGGAACAGGTGCTGCCTGTAATCTTCAGGTGGAGCCTGCTAGTTGTACGTGTGGGGGAGGGGAAATACGGTGGGCACACCAGCCTTGCCCTTCCTTCTCTTCCCTGGAAGGAGCCAAACTCCCCCTCCGCCTTCCTTCTCCCATCTTGAGGGTGAGTGAGAGAAGAGGCTGTTCTCTTGCCTGCAGTCCTTTAAGTCTGTCCCTCCACCCCCATACATCCTTCACAGCCCTGGAGGCCCTTCCTCTCCAAGCTGGGCCGCGGCATCCCTCAGCTCCGTTCTCCTCCTTCCCATCCCCACTGGCGTCGGGTCCAGGTCCCCAGTTCTCCATCCCCACAGCCTCACCATCTCCGCGTCACCTCCTCCCCCACCATGCCACATCTGCATCCCTACCCTCCCTCCACACCCGAGTCCCAGGACCCGGACCCATCCTTGCACCCCCCCCCCCCCCCCCCCCCCGCCAACTCGGCCAGGCTCTCACCTCGGGGGCTCCGCGGCCGCAGCACAAAAGGCGGCGCTGCTGCAGCTCCGCTCCGGATGCTGCTCCCGCCTCCTCCTCCTTCTCCACCTCCTTCCCTCCTCCCCCCGCTGCCCTCGACCGGACCGGGGGCGCTGTCACAAGCGATGCTCGTGTGGTGTCCAGGTGCACCGGCGTCAGCCTCAGCTTTCCGCCCCCATCTCCTACCCTTAGCCCGGTCCCCACTCGGCTTGAACTCCCGCTCCTTCAAGGCCCCCGCCCCTGGCCCCCCGGGACGGACACGCCCTGAGCGGGGGATGCTGCGCTGGAGCCGCCGGCCTCTTAAAGGAGCCCGCTGCTGCCATCCGGCGCGCTCCAGGCCCGTCCCTGGGCCCCACGCCTCCTTGCTGACGGTGTCTTACAGCAGTTACACTTCGGGCCTTATGTTGATTCCGTAGGAACCTCCTATGGTCCGTCTTATGGACTCCTTCCTGTTCCCTGAGAGAGCAGCCCCTCAAATGGTATTCTCAGCACTCTGACATTGCTCCCCCCGTCATACCGATCTTGCCAGTTCTGCTTCTCTTGATTGTCACCGCTCGTTTTCCAGTTTCACCCAATTGGAATCCACTCAGCTGTAGGCCCCATCCCCCTCAGTGTTCCTGGTTGACCCCTCACCATTCCAAGATTCCTCTGTGCATACCTCCTTGCCGCCCCCCCCCCCCCCCCGCTGCCTCCAACCTTAGAGCAAGGCAACTATTCCCTGACCTATTCTCAAAACGCTCATCGGAATCAGACATTTTTTGTGATACCTCTTTCTCCAAGGTCACAAGATTTCCCCTGTATCTTTCAGTCAGTGCTTGCGAAGACTTTGGGGAAGGAGTGGGTCTTTGGGAGCCAAAAGTATATTTTCTGCTCTGCACCCAGAGACTCAAATCTCAGGGCAGAGGGAATAATACCAGGCACCATAGTTCTTCTTGTCCCACTACAGCCTGATTCTCGGGTCCCAGATTCCTGGCCAGTTAAGGAAATATTCACTAGGGTGGATCTACTGAGGCTTTCGGAGAGAAACAAAACCTGACAAGTTGCTTAGAGAGTAGAGGGTAAAGGAGATTAAAGACAACCTAGGAAAATGAAGCAGGTTCTGTGACACCGTGGCCTGAGGGTCAGGGGTTTAGGCTTAGGCTGGCGACTTAAGGGAGAACTGTCTGAGGTGAACTTGAACCTACAACAACCCCATTGCTCTGGGGGAAGGGGGTGGTGATAGAACAGCCCCCTCTAGCGTCCAGGTAAGGCCAACCCTCCGAGACCACGAAGAGGCAGGATCTGCCAGCAGCCTCCCAGGCCAATCACAACCTTTCCTCAAGGAGGCGGGTTATCTTCCCTTGTCTCCGCCTCTCTGGGCCAAGTAGCCAATCGAAAGTCGCCTAGGAGAAGTAAACGCAATCGGAATAGCCAATGATGCCGTTGAATCTTTTGCGTGTTTGACCCTGCCCCTACAGCTGCGACAGAGTGACGCGCGAGTTGCTGGGTTTTGTAGTTTTCTAGGGGTTCAAAAGGCCCCAAAGGCAAGTTAGCCCTCACGGTCCCGCCCCCAGCCGCTTCCTCTCGGCTACTACGCAAGCTCACAGCCCGGGGGCGAGGCGGTGCGGCCAGCCCGCTGCTCGGAAGCGTCCGCTCCTCCCAGAAGGCGGTGCAGCCAGCCAGAGCGAGCCTCGCGGAGGGTTGTGGGGCGGGTAGCTCCCCTCTACATGAAGACTCATGAAGTAGGGTAGGCGGAGGACTCCATATCCCAGCATGCCCCGCGGCGGGCCCTACCGGCCGCTATTCCGGGCTTGGCCCCGGCCCTAGCTCGTCGGCGGAATACTGGGGCGCGTGGAAGCTGTAGTCACGGTGGCGCCCGTAGGGACGGAGGAGGGAATGAGCGAAGAGGAGCAGGGCTCCGGCACTACCACGGGCTGCGGGCTGCCCAGGTGAGCCGCCTTGTCCTCATCACCGCAGAGCGAAAAGTGTCTGGCGGTGCGGAAGGGTAGCGCCGCGGCCCCAGCATGCACCTGGCCTGAGGGTTGTTCCCGGCAAGCACTGGGGTAGTGGGCAGTGGTTCCCAGCATGCACCGGGGCAGTGGCCACCGCCTCCAGCTCTAAATAGTTAGGGGTTGGCTCGGTTCCCAGACTACACTGGAGCACTGGGCTTTATGCCCCCCACATTCAGTGCATTTGGTGGGTACTGGGTTCTTGGCCTGCACCGTGTCAGGGTCCCTGCACTTCCAATCAGCACGGGGCACAGGCTCCCTCGCCTTAAGTGAGACAGGAACAGTGCATTTCCCACTTGCCTTGGGGTAGTGGACCCTGTTTTCCCAGCTACATCCCTAATTTGAACCCAGCCAATGGACACTCTGCGTGGGGTCCCCTGGACCCTGTGTCCCCCATAACGTGCCTAGGTGTCGTGTGGCAGTGCTTGGCCAGGTGGGTGCAGAGGAGAGGTGTGATGTGGGTCTGTACCCCTTACCCCAGTATAGAGCAAATGCTGGCCGCCAACCCCGGCAAGACCCCGATCAGCCTTCTTCAGGAATATGGGACCAGAATAGGGAAGACGCCTGTGTACGACCTTCTCAAAGCCGAGGGCCAAGCCCACCAGCCTAATTTCACCTTCCGGGTCACCGTTGGCGACACCAGCTGCACTGGTGAGGAAGGCTTGGGCAGCCTGGCTGGGGTGTGCATTTAAGGGCCCATTGCTTTGTATCGTGGAGTCTCTCTTCACAGTCCTCTTTTCCAAGGCCAGTAAGATTTCAGGGTATTTCAAGATTACAGAGATTCCAGGGGAAAAGCCACTGACTGTAGTGGCAGAACAGGGCTATGAGAAGTGGGTAGACTTGGGGAAGTCAGAGGAGTGAGTAGGACTGCCTTGGGGATCTGGCAGGTCCCCATCACCCCAGAGGAAAAAGAGAGAATACTTTACATTTTCAGTGGATATTTGGCGGAGTGAGAGCTACCATGCCGGGCTCTATATCTGAGTAAACTGAGTATCAAATTGAATGGCTGGGACACTGTCATATGTCTAGTAAGTGGCACAGTAGGGCTTTGTAGAGCCTACTCTATTGTTCCAGCTGTTTATTGAGGGAAAAGAAAGTACTTTGCAGAGGGAAGTAAGGCAGAGAAAGAGTCTCCACCTAAAGGGAGCTCAGAATTCCTGCTTGGCATGGCATAATTCTAGGAGCTAATAGAAAGATAAGGGCCCTTCTTTCCAGCAGTTAGTGAACCGTTCTAGTCTTGGGCAGGGGGAGGATGGTCAGAGGAGCTTGATTGACTCCCTCTGGCTGTGAGGAAAGAGACTGGGATGCTGGTTTCTCTTCTGTTCTTCCAGTGACCTCCAGTATTGCCCACACCCCCTCTCTCAGGTCAGGGCCCCAGCAAGAAAGCAGCCAAGCACAAGGCAGCTGAGGTGGCCCTCAAACACCTCAAAGGGGGGAGCATGCTGGAGCCGGCCCTGGAGGACAGCAGGTGAGGGAGGAACAGCCAAGGCACCTAGAAGTCCTGCCAGGAACCCAGGCCCTGTACCACCGTCCACTCTCCTTGAGCCTGGCCTGGTGACCTTTACCACCCTGACCTTTCCCCTTCCAAGAATTTCCTCTGGACCCAAACAGAGTGTTTCTAGGGCTTCTGCTGCTGTGAAGAATTCTCTGGGGAATAGCCAGCCCCTTTGCAGGATTGTAGCTGTAATTGGGGTTGGGGTTAGGGAGGGCTGGGGAGGAGGCTGAGGTTGACAGGAGTTGCTCCCTTACATGCTTCCTCTTACTAGCAAATATGTCCTTCCCTCTTCTATGCTCAGGTTGGAATTTGTTGTTCCCATGGTTCTTGGGTAGGAAGAGACTTCTTTTCTAAGATGACATTTTCTCAGTCTTTTTGAGCCAGTAGGGGCAGCAAAGCATCCCAGGAGGAAGATGTTGGGTCTCTTGAGTCTGGCTCAGTTGAGAAGTTCTCTTAAGGCATGGGCAGGTCAGGAGACCTGAGTCCCCACCCCTCTATTCTCCCTGCACCTGGGTGTGAATCCAAGACCCCCTTCCCCTCGGGAAGTTCTTTTTCTCCCCCAGACTCTTCACTGCCTGAGGAGGTTCCGGTTTTTGCTGCTGTGGCAGTTGCTGCTCCTGTTCCATCCACTATCTTAATCAGGTATCTTGTGTTCCCTGACTGCTGTAAAGGGTGGGGAGGAGAAGGTCCTGGCTCCTGGCTCCTCAGCTAGGCTAGTCAGGCATGAGGAAGCCTGACAGTGAGCAAAGAATGGAATAGTTGGGGACAAGAGCTTGCAGAATTTGCACCAATTGGTAAGCTTTTGGGACAGGGGGTAATTTATGATTTTTTTTTTTTTTTGGTGGGAGGATACAGGGGATTGAAACAAGGGGTACTCTACCACTGAGCTACATCCGTTTTTTAAATTTTTTGAGACTGGGTTTTGCTAAGTTGCTGAGGCTGGCCTTGAATTTGGCTATCTTCCTGCCTCAGCCTCCTAAGTCACTGGGATTACAGGCATTCACCACCATGCCTGGCTTAATTTATGATTCTTAAATAGCAATATGGATGAAGTCTGATGATATTTAATGGTCTTGTAGTCTACAGTTTCTTCTGGGTTGACCATTTGATGATTCTGTTTGAGATCCATTAACTGCTCTGGGACTAGCTATTCAGCCCTTCTCCCACCGTCCTGGGAAGATGATAACCGAATATTTTTTAATCTAAATGCGGCACTTCTTTTGTGGGGGAGTGGGAGGAAGCAGGCCAGAAATAGGGAGATGGCATGGGAAAACTAAGCAGTGGTTAAGACTTGGGCTTGTGGGTAGCCCCAGAAGGAACCATTCTCAGCTTTGGCCTGGGCCCTTTTTCCTTCAGGAGCCCCCCCATGGAGATGCAACCCCCTGTCTCCCCTCAGCAGTCTGAGTGCAACCCCGTTGGTGCGCTGCAGGTGTGCCCCCATCCTCATTTTCCATGCATGCCTGTCTTCCCTTGAACCAGGGGCTGCAAGAGTTTGTGGGTGGGGCAGTTACCTTGTACTAAGGCCTTTCCACACCCCTCCTTCCTGTCATCTAGAGTTTGAGGCTTTTGGGTAAGGGCCAGTATAGATATAGGGAGTCTCTTCTCACTTGGCCTTGTGCTCCCTGTGTCTCCTCTCCAAGGAGCTGGTGGTGCAGAAAGGCTGGAGATTGCCAGAGTACACAGTGACCCAGGAATCCGGGCCAGCCCACCGCAAAGAGTTCACTATGACCTGCCGAGTGGAGCGTTTCATTGAGATTGGTAACTGGACAGAAGGGGGTTCTCAGCTCATATTCCACAGCCCTCCAACCCTGACACAAGGCAGTTCCTGGCTTTAGTTTGCTGCACCCTGCCTCTTCTTGCTCCATAGTTGCTGACTCAGCTTCTTTCTCCTACCTTCTTTGTATCCTCTTTCCCCCATCTTCAGCTGACCAGGTTCTTGGGTGCATGGGCAGGTTCTGAGCTCCCCTTTCTCACTGACATTCATGTGGGTGGAAAGCACAGGTCTGTTGGGAGTTAGAATCGAGCAACCCTCTTCCATGCACAGGCAGTGGCACTTCTAAAAAGCTGGCCAAGCGTAATGCAGCGGCTAAAATGCTGCTTCGAGTGCACACAGTGCCTCTGGATGCCCGGGACGGCAATGAGGCGGAGCCTGATGACGATCACTTCTCCATTGTGAGTGTCTTGCGTGGGTCGGGGACATGGTCGACTTTCCATGACTCAGCAGGGCACCAGGCATTGGTTCTGTGACTCGGGAGTAAGCTTTCTCAGTCCTGGGTGTGCTTACGCTCCAATTTTCCTACCAGACCTAGGGCTCCTTGGGTCTCTGAGGCCCCCTCAGCCTCGACTCGTGGTTCACTGGTGAGTGCTGTGGGGGAGCTGGCTTGGGGTGGGGAACTGTAGGCTTCCATTTCTGGGATGAAGAAAGCTGCCTTGCCATCATGTCCAGAGTCTAGAAGTTAGAGGATGCTATGTAGGGACTGACTGGGGGAAGGACAGCTGGAAGAAGAGGCATTCTTTGGGCTTTTCTTTTCTTGAACACTGTCTGAATGCCTGGGTTCCACAGCCCCTGGCTACATCTTTTTCACTTTTCCCATCTTGTCAGGGTGTGGGCTCCCGCCTGGATGGACTTCGCAACCGGGGCCCAGGCTGCACCTGGGATTCTCTGCGAAATTCTGTGGGAGAGAAGATCCTGTCTCTTCGCAGTTGCTCCCTGGGCTCCCTAGGTGCTTTGGGCTCTGCCTGCTGCAGTGTACTCAGTGAGCTCTCTGAGGAGCAGGCCTTCCATGTCAGCTACCTGGATATTGGTATGACTAGTTGGGGAGCCAGGGGATGGTGGGGACTGAATCAGAGCTAGTATAAGGGGATCAGGAGGGGATGATGATGATGTGGATGTACCCCAGCCCAGTGCTCCTCCCCATCCAACACTGCCTCCCTTCCTTTCGGTCTACAGAGGAACTGAGCCTGAGTGGTCTCTGCCAGTGCCTAGTGGAACTGTCCACCCAGCCAGCCACTGTATGTCATGGCTCTGCAACCACCAGGGAGGCAGCCCGAGGTGAGGCCGCTCGCCGTGCCCTGCAGTACCTCAAGATCATGGCAGGCAGCAAGTAGAGCCTCAGATGGACTCATGGATGTGTACTCTTTGCTCCCTGCTTTTCCTGCCTTTGGGCCCACGTATCCACTCAGCTCTGGTACCTTCTGGAGGTGCCCTCTCTACCTCTGACACAAGACTGCCTGCCTTGAGCTGAAGAAGGCACAGGGCAGGGAGCCAGGGACCACCGGGCCTCAGCCAGCCCAGAGTGTCTACCTATAGGTGATGACAAGTGGGAAGGGGGCTCTACTAGAGTCCAGAATAAACATGCTGCTCCTAGGTTTCTTAAACCCTGCTCTTTCTGTGCCCTGAGTAATGTGGATGGTGGGGGTCAGCACCACATCCTTCGTCTACTGCCCCCCCGCCCCCATTCTCATGGTCTTGCAGGAAGTAAGTAGTGGTGTAGTGGCCTCGGGAGCCTTGTCAGCTGCAATGGCTGGAGTTTGGTTTGGTGGAGGTAGAGGTTGGTGGTCCTTGCCTCAGGCTCTTTCCCAGCCCTGTAAAGTCTTATCTGGATACACATGGATTCAGAAGCCAGACCACTTTATTTGGGGGGACACATGGCACTTTGGGCCTTGCATGCAAACACATCAAGGGATGACACTTATTTTTTCCCAAAGCGCTGAGGGGCAGCCAGGCTCCAGAACTCTCCAGCCTGGGGATTCAGTTGCTCGTTGCTCCAGGGTCCCCAGGTATTTCTGCCAAACCTAAGGGAGAGATTCATCCTCAGATGTAGCTCCTTCTAGTCTCCCTCCTTGAGTCCCTTCCCTTTTCTCTTCTTTTTCTGCCCTTCCCAGACCCTGCTATGCTCCTCTACTTTTCAGACTCACCTCTGGGGCTGAAACAGGAAGGCTGGACTCCGGCCAGATCTCTCCATGGCCTGGAGCAGGGAGCGCAAGAGGGACCCAGGGGTCTGGGCATGCTGCAGTGAGCTGGGTCCATTGTCTTCTTTCTGCAGCAAGAGGGTGGCAGGGAGGGAAGATGGGCAAATGCCCTGGACACTAAAGATACAAGGGGAAAGAAGTAGCTTCTAAGAGCAAATTGAAGGAGGCTGGTGGGGATGGGGTGCTCACTTACCACAAAGACCTGGTCTCCATCCTGGCCTCTTGGTACTTCAGCATGGCCCCAGTCCGTTAACAGTAGCAACACCAGCAGCACTATCACCCGCCTGGAATCCATGCTGCCATCAGCCTTCCTACAGCCACACCAGCCTCTTATACCTGCTGTACCCCTATCTCCCACCCCCAACAGCAGCCTGAGGGGGAATCTAGACAGGCAATGGAAATGCACGGCTCTATTAAGGGCCACCTGGGATCCCCTCTCATGTGTCCCCTGGGGCTCCCTGCTTTCAGTCTCCCACCCCCAGCCCCTAAGCCTGGAGTTATAGACTTTATTAGATGCATAAATCCTGTCTCCAGAGCTCAAGAAACATCATTTATTGCAGATGTTTTGTCAGAGCCAGGCCCTAGGGGGCCTTAAGAATCCCCAATCCCTCAACAGGTTGGAGAGCTTCAATTGATCACTCCTTTCCTAACTTGTAGACTTAAGCATAGACAGACTCCTGTCAAGAAGGCTAGATGTTATGTCCTGGATGGGAGGGAGAATGGGAAGGACCCAGGTCAGAGTTGGCCAGGTTGACATAGCCTGGTCCCTTCCCTGCCTGGGTCAGCAGTCAGTCAGAATCATACAGCCTAGTCACACCCCTGCCTTTGGGAAGGTTAAACCTGGAATCACCACTCTGAGAGTTGACTGTGGACAGAAAAGTGAGATACAGGAGACTGATGGGGTTTTGGAGCCCAAAGAGCAGAGATGGCTTCACATCTTTGTGGACAGAGCCATCTTCACTAGACAGTGCTGCCTCTCCACTCTTCTTGGGAACTGACCTTCGCAGCTATAGCTCTGCTGCCACCCTGTGGCCACTGTTCCTTACTACCAGGTCCAGTCATTTTCTTTTTCAGCATAGCTCTTTCAAGGAGGAACCTAGGAGGGTGAGAGGTCCTGAAGCCCTGACTTGCAATGGCAGCAGAAGGATACTGTGGAGCTGGACTGTCATTTTGTTTCACCTCCTTGTGGCCAGTACAGCCTCTACCTGGCTCTGACGCTGAGGCAAGGCAACATGAATCTTGCCTTAGGAAACATCAGAATAACAACTATTCAGGGAGGCACTTTTATTATGTGGTGCAGTTTCCTGCTAATTGTAGAATCCCTTCCTGAGCACGGGTTCCAGTTTGGGGTTCCAGCCTATGGTGAATGGCATAATGGGTCTCTGACTCAGCCCTGGTCCAGCTATCTACCTCTATAAACTTCAGGTTTCTAACATGGGAACATTAAAAGGAATTACTTCCTAGGGTAAGCATTATTCAAGATACCTTTTGTAATCCATCCAGCACAGGATCTGGCAAGCAGCAGGTATCCTCAAAACATTAGCTGTGATTACTTTCACACCCCAGACCCAGGGAACTTACCATTTCCTGAGAGAGTCTTTGGATAGATTTATCCTTATGCTGAGCTGGCTTCAGTCTCCCTGTGGCATCCACCGGGTGGGTATCTTAGTTTGCTCCATTAGGCCTCACAGAATATCTTTAGTGTCTAAAGACATTTCATTCTTCCATTCTAATCTTTTTTGCCCAATGGGAAGTGCTGCCCTCTTTGAAGCAAGGCATCTTGGAACTTATACATTTGTATAGTAGAACAGGTTTTGATCTGGATGTTTTATATAGGATACATTAATATTCCTATTAATGTAGTCTAAATTCAGGTAAACATTTTTGTAAGCTTTGTCTCATGGTTGGTTCTAAATACCAAACTGACGTCATAGTTACATCTTGTAGTTCATTTCTTAAAAGGGAATATTAAATCCATGGGTGGCTGGTTCTGTATTCTGTCACAGTCCTTGTTTGTTCCTATGTGACAGATCCAGAGGAGCAGGGTGGCAAGGCTGGGTGGGGCACTGCAAACTTGCAAACTGGCTCTGGGCCAGACAGAACTGTTTTTATCTTTGCTCTTGCACTTCGTTGTTTGACTTACCTAAACTTTAGTTCATCAATAATAAAAATGAAGCAACTCCTTCGGTTATTAAAAGGCTGTTGTGAACAGGAAATGATTTGAGTGCAAAGCATGCTACCATTTCCACCTAGCACAGAGCAGGCACTTAATACCCACCATGCTGCTGCTTCCCCTCCTAATATTCCTGAGTGGGTCTGAGCTGAGGCTGCATTCAAAAAGGGGCTGGTCTAGCTGCTTTCCTAATCTACGATGAAGGAGACTGATCTCTGTTTAGAAGTCAGAATGGGTTAATCCTAGACTAGTACACTGCCCTTCCTTCAGGGTCACATTCCTACCTCCAAGACATTGCAATTTGGGTCCTGGTATTTGACTTTCAGCAACTTCCTCTCACCTTTCCCTAGTCTCTCATGTGCTTCTGACCACAATACAGTGAAAGCCTTTGCTGCTATTCCCACTCTCCTATGGAGGCCTGTATATGCCAACTGTCTACCAAACAACAGCCACAAACAGCTTCATACATCATTCTTTTCCTAAGGGAAATCTCAGCAGCACCTGCTACCTCTTTTGTCATCCTGGCACTATTCTTATTACCAATGAAAATCATCAGGAACAGACAGATGCATGGAATTGTTAGTGATTTTCCCCGTTCCTCCTCCTCAACCCCTATTCTCTTAGCATTATCTGTCTTCTTGGGAGCTCTCAGCAGCTTCTAAGCAAATCTCCCTTCATCTCCAGACCAACCACTTCCATACTGTCCCTCTGCCGTAGAAAGGTTCACTTTCTGTGTGTATACTCCCCAGCCATGCTGAAAACTTACCAACTGTTGTGGGTAGGGCAAGGTGGGGACAAAAGAGAAAGATAAGGTCAATTGCCTTCAGATATTCCCATCCTCCATTCACATAAAGCAAACACTAAGTTCACAGGTGAATGTTTCTGTGATGCCAAGGGCCCTTATCTTTGAGCCAGTCCACAGATCTGAGCTCTGTGTCCTTGGTCATGCTGTGTAATTTATATAAATCTACAGCCTTCTGGAGGCTGCACCACTCCTGTATTAAAAGTAGAGACAAGAATCCCTACTCCTGTCCTAAGAAGTTAGAGGGAGAAGAGACTTGCAGATATGAAAGCCCAGTGAGTCCCCAGAAGAGTGGTCAGTGGGATTTGTTCTTTCTTTTTTTTTGGTACCGGGGATTGAACTCAGGGGCACTCCACCACTGAGCCACACCCCCAGCCCTATTTTGTATTTGATTTAGAGACAGGATCTCATTGAGTTGCTTAGCATCTCACTTTTGCTAAGGAAGGCTGGCTTTGAATTTATGATCCTCTTGCCTTAGCCTCCTGAACTGTTGGGATTACAGGTGTGCACCACCGCACCCAGACGGTCAATGGGATCTGTAGGTCAGAGTAGTGAAGCATCAGACAAACCAGTGGTTCTCTTGATAGTTTAATGTTATATTTGCAGCATAAATAAGGCACAATATATGTCAGGGCAAGGGAGGGAGGGAGGAGGGAGAAGGCATGGCTGGGGAATAACTGCTAAGTGGCAAAGGGACGGTCACAGAGAAGAGAGCAATGCCCCACCTCAGCCCCGTCCCAAAGAGTGTGAGAGCCTGCTCACAGGGTCATGCTGAATTGGATGGAGGGGAAGGGGGAAAGATAGTTTTGTAACAAAATTGCCTGTAGCACTGCATCCTCCCACCTGTCAGGGTCCACCACTAGAGACTGGGGAGACCCAGATCAAGTTGAGTTCCTTGATGAGATAGAGAGGTGTTGCTACATGTCAAAAATATATAGATGAACAGAGATATAATCATAGATACAAACTTTCTTCTCCATAGATACTATTATCAGGATGCAGCAGCCTCCACTGATGGGGCTGGAGGCTCAACTCCTCCCTGCCTGCAAGGTGTGCTTGTATATGGGAGGAACAGGCAGCTAAAGCTCCATCTGGTCCTTAATGTAATCAAGAATGCAGAGTGACCAGTCTGCAAGGGAACAGGGACAACTCTTGTCTAGACCAATATAGGGACAGGTTTTATAGAAAAGACTAAAAGGAAGAAAACCTAGTTTGAGATGAGTGATGTGGTTGTGGTGGTGGTGGTGGTGACTGTTTTAATGGGAGTTGAGGGAGGGACTGGAAGAAATGGAAAAATATGTTAGTGCTAAGGCAGAGGACGATATTTAAAATAATTCTCCATGTCCTGTAAGAAGCTCCCAAATTGCCCGTAAGGTGATGATTCTCAAACATCAGTGCACATTAGAAGGGCTTGGAGTGCTTACTGAAACCCACTCCCAGTTTCTGATTCTGATTTGGTAGATCTCAGTTGGGCTGAGAATGGGCATTTCTAGCAAGTTCCAGGTGACAGTGATACTCCTTCTGCTGGTCCTGGGTCATACTCTGAGAACCACAAACTTAACGTAAAGTCATTGTGACTACTATTTGTGGCCACTTACAGCTAGTGCATCACTCATCAGTAGCTGGGATGAGTTATCTCTGTGCTTCTAGCTCCCCATTAAAAAAATAAACCCTTGTAGCTACAATGCAAACCTGCATCTAAGAAAGACATAAATTGCCTTAATCTGCCCTACTCTCTCCATCCTTTTCTCATTCTGGGGTAGGATTTTACCCCAAAGAGAAGTAATTCAACTGGTGCAGAGGATGGGAATGTTGACCAGCTGCCACCTATATTCATTCCTGTTGGGTCACCACCCCAGAGTGAGTGCATGGGGATTTATGTTTGCATGCACATTCATGTGTGCATACAGAAACAGAGAAATCAGTTCTATTTCATGAGATGATTAGGGAGGCTGTAGGCTCTAATCTGCCTTAGGAGCCTCACCTATTCTGTTCCTCCACACCTTCCACTCCAAACATAAGTCTAAAGAAAGGAGAGAACGCATTAGCAAAGGCATAGCAAATGACACAGCTAGGAGGACTGGACTCTAAACAGACTGGTTATGAAATAAAAAACAAAAACAAAATAATTTCTTTCCTGTGTACACAATGTACAATATTAATGGGAAAAATAATTTGGGGATGGGAAGGAAATTATGAAAAGGGGACTTATTTTTTTTTGTTGGGGAGAGCTACCTTGGGGCTAGCACCTTTCCCGAGCCTCTCAGTGTGAAGCAGGAGAGCCTCAGAAACAGGAAAGATTTCTTGGCATCTGCTTGGTGATTCAGGCTGTAGATGGTGCACAGATATGGTGAAGCACTCCATCTCCCAGGATGGTGGTGCTGGAGGCAGGTCCTTGAGAAGATGGATTGGTGAGTCAAGAAAGGAACAACAGCTACAGAACAGGGATAGGAAAGGAAGGGAGCAAGGTGAAGTTCAGCTGGCCCAGCTACTCTTAACCATCCCATATAGTATATGGCCTAGGGCCAAGGAGAAGAATGGAGGCAGAGGGAAGCCAGATTTGGGATGCCTGACCAACAGGAAATAATAAGTAAAGGAGCTATACTCTTTCTGGTCCCCCCTGTCATGTGGGAGGCTTTCTGTGAGCAAGCTATTTTGAAGGGAGCAGGGCAGACCAAACCAGCTCTCACCACTTCCTAGCCCGGAGTGAGGTGGGAGGCCTGAGTCTTGTGTTCACTTGGAAGAGTCCCAAGCCATCCACATTCTCAGTTCCTTTCTGAAAGTGTCCTTGCTAGGTCCTAGAAGGGCCACAGTACTTAAGAAGGGCTAAGTGACACCTCCATGATATCTGGTTCTGGTCCAGGTAAGTCTGGAAGGCAAAGATCAGGGGACAGTGACCACATGGCTGGCAGCAATAACAAGGTAAGTGTCTCCCCTTGACTGTAAGAGAAAGCTTCAGGATGAGCAGGTGCTTTGCCTTCTTAGTGAGACCAAGGACCAACTGAATTGCTGTCTGGGGTTCTGTCTTTCCCCTTCCTCCTTTTAGTGCCATTTCACTACTACAGTTCTGACAATGCCCCTCATTTAGGTCCCCAATGCTAGCCTCTTCACTGACAAAAATGAATTAAGAGACTCAAGAGAATTAGACATGGGGGCTAAGAAACTAAAAAAGGCCCTCTGCATTAAACAGCCATCCAACACAGGGACAGATTGGTGGGGCATGTGTGCAATGACAAACTGATTCTTAACTTTAAAAATACTTGACTGAAGGGGGAAGAAAAATAGTCAAGGGTCTGATGAAAGCTCCTTAGGAGCCATAAACTCAGTCATGCTTTAGGGCAAGGCTGCTACTGGGAAATCAAGGCAATAAAAAATGAAACAAGACTCAAAAGCAGGAAAAAAATCCCAGGGAGCAGCCATCTAAAAGAGAAGTCCTGAGAACAAGTTATGGCTGTGAATCTTTAAAGGCAAGCAAAGTCCCTGCAGGTGGTAACCTGTATCCTGACCATCTGCCATGACATTTGCTAGTCTGATCACCTCAGGGGCAGTTCCTGTTGGGTCCCTGGTGGTAATGGATGAGAAAATCATATTTTTTTCTCCTTCTTCTTCACCAGGTGTGGTTTGTTCAGCACTGACACTGAAAAGCAGGAGGGGAGATTTAAAATAAATGCAGCAGAACATGTCACCTGACGGGTTCACCAGTCTATCACTGAGGAAATGGGAATCTTGTAGCTTAAAACATTTTCTCATTCTTCTCTGGCAGCCAGTTTTGGAAGACAAAATAAAAAAGGAGGCTGGCAGTTATTCTGTATACGTATTTAAGATGAAGGCAGAAGAGGTGAAGAAAAGGACATTCTTGGATTTGGCAGATGGCAGAAGGTGGCTCTGGGACAACTAGAAGGGTTTCATACTGAAAGGCTATTAAAACTGACCTATCTATCAGTAGGCTTCTGGCTTTGGATTGCTTCCTATGGCCCTGGTAAATATTGCATAGTTCAAGAGCCAAGGGAGATGAGGAGGCTACTGGTGAAGAAAGAGGATCAAGAGGCATGAATTTCTTCCCCTGCAACTCAACTCTTCAAAGTAATAATTGATGAGAGTCACAGTCAACAACTTCTCAGGCAGGCCAGACCCTGGGCCCCTCTGCTGCTTCTTCCCTCTGTCCTTCCTCCTTCCACCTAATATTATATTCAAGAAAAGCCACTGAGGACATTTGCCATGATGTGTCAGGGTCCTGGAGCTTGTACTATGGAGAGGCATCGCATTTAAGGAGCATAGAATAGAAATGAGTTAAAGAATAACTCTGCAGGACCAGGGAGACCTAGTGGCTAGGCTAGGAAACCAGTGAGAGAAGGTAGTCCATAGGGTGATGGGCTCTGGTGAATACAAGACAGCTCAGAAAAGAGATCTGTGAGGCTAAAAGATGGAGGAAGAACAACAGCAAGGGAATACAAGAGTCCCCATACATGACACCTCTAGGAGGGATAATCTGAACTAGTTATAGCAGAGGGACAGGGGAACCAAGAAGGAGAGCAGGAGCAAAAACATGACCAAAGGTGACAATGTACATACTTTGGCCAGTAAAAAAAAGAATTGGTAAAACAAAAGAATCAGTTAATCCAGTAATCTGATGGAAAAAGCTTTAAATTGCATTGTTCCTGTTTGCCCTGATGACTGGAACTACAGGAGGATGAAGGGTGACAGGGAAACACCAATTAGATCCCAGGCTCTTTCCCTTTTCACTGCCACGCAATATCAATCAATAAGGCCACAAGATGAAGTTGCCAAGGCTTAGTGGGAGGTGGGAAAGACCTAGGAAAAGTCAAGAGACAAAAAGAGGTACCCATACAGCTCTGGAAATAGATGAAAAAGGACTAGAAATTTTGGGGCTTTCTTTTTGTCTTTTTTCTTGGTAGGTAGAGGAATAAAGCTTACAGAAGAGCTGGAAAATACTGCTGCTTCATAAGTCAAAGGTAACCTTACATTCTTCATAAGTGAATGCTTTCACTAGTATTTTGGAAAGGGAAAGGCATACATAAGCGGCTACTGGGAGACCAAGTCCTGAGTCTGTGGTGGGGCTGGGGATAAGATGGCAGGTGATATGCCATCAGATCTAGCCCCTCTATCAAGCAAGAAGTGGCATGCTGGGAAGGAACAAGAAGACAAGAGCCATAGCTTAGTGGGAAGAGAGGAAACTAAGAAACCCCAAATCTAGAAGTGCAAGGGTTAGTGTTAAAAGAGACAGGTACATGTGCATGGAGCAAGGATGATTGCTCGGACCATTTGGAAAAGCCTTTGGCTGTGGGTACATCAGAAACCCCACTCTTGGATGATGATCTATGTGGCTCCAGGGCTGGGAGACCCCTAGTACAGATGTCAAACTTACATGACCATGCTGCTAAAGAGAAAAGCCCCACATCTGTCCATACTCACAACATACAATGTCCCCCCGCTACGTATTGCCATATCCAAGGCAGATGGGAGAGGATAAGATGACATCTCTCTTGGCTCTTGAGCGGGAGAGCTCTGGCTGGGGACCTCTCCATCAGAGGAGGCATCATCTGCCCGCAGACTGGGACTGTGGGGTCATGATCACATGCGACTGTATCGGCATGCTCAGTTCTGTCCTTTGGCTGGCCATCTGAGTGAGGACTGAGGTGGCCACAGCTTCAGCTGCAGAGCGAACACTGAGGCCATTGCTAGGGGCTGTTGCTGAGCTGTGTTGAATCACAGGGGCTGGAGAACCCGTTGGCTCTGAGCTTTCCTTGGGGCTTTCTGCCAGGAAGGAAGGCAAAGAACAGAGAGCAAGTGTTAGAAAACAGAACGGGGGGTTTGTGGCTCTGTGGTAGAGCGTTTGCCTAGCATGTTTGAGGCACTGGGTTCAATTCTCAGCACCATATATAAAGAAGTGAACAAAAATCAAGGTCCATCAACAACTAATAAAAATATAATAAAAAAAGAAAGAAAGAAAACAGAACAGGGAAACAGACAAGACTACCTTTTGCCATAATTCCAAAGAAGTCTAAAGAAAAATGAAACTCATCTCTTTTTGGGGAAACCCCAGATGGCTTAGGAAATGGGAAGCTGTGAGAAGGGAAACAAGAACTAAGCCAAAATTAACCTGACTATCCCAATAAAGTGAATCCCCAACATATTAATTATACTGACTTTTGAGTCTCTGTATAGTTCAAAATGCTATTTGGAATATTTTCCCCTTTAAAGGTGATTTAAAATCGATTTTTTTTTTTTTTTTTTTTTTTTTTTTTAGCTATCCTCTTGTATTAATTCCCAAAGGAACCAAACTATTCCATTATTTTTAATGTTCTTTAGCAGGTAGATTACCCTAGGTAAATCTGATAAATATAAAGCTACAATCAAATGATGTTATGAATGGCCAGTACTTGGCCAAGGTTCAAATGACATGCAAAACTAAAAGGAATCTGTTGGATACCTGACTATCAATTAGCTAGGTATTAGCTAGCCATTAATGACTTAAAATATTTATTATAAGCCAGGCTCAGTGGCACATGCCTATAATTCCATGACTTGGTAGGCTGAGGCAAGAGGATCACAAGTACAAAGGCAACCTCAGCAACTTAGCAAGGTCTTAAGCCCTAAGCAACTTAGTGAGACCCTGTCTCTTTAAAAACAAAAACAAAATAAAAAATGGGAGGTTAGGGTGGGAAGAGGGCTGGGGATATTGCTCAGTGGTTAAGCACCCCCTGGGTTCAATCCCCTGTACCAAATTAATAATAATAATAATAAACAAACATATTTTGAAGTACACTATTCCACCTAAGGTGAAAATAACATTTTACTACTAAATACAATATCTGAACTGCATACAAAGGTATCTTCCATGATGCTTACTGGTCAAAGAATTTTATCAAACATCAGACAATCTCAATGGCTCCTTAAACAGATATGTGGGAATTAGGACCAACTTCCAAAAGGTGGTTATATTTTTGATCTCTTGATAAATGGCCTAAGTCATTTTTCAGGCCTCTGTGAGGCCTTCTTTGTTACCTTCAGGAAGTTTGGGGCTCCTTGAGTGGGATACCTGTTCTTACCTCTTTCATGGGTTTATGATGACTCTATATGAGTCAGAGAGGTAGGGAAAGTATCTTATCTGTTTGTGTCAAGTACATACCATAATGTTAATACCACACACAGGAACTAAACGGCTTTGCTGTAACAAATAAGTAGTTTAATGGATTGTCTACCTGTCAGAGTGTTTGCAGGAAATGAATAGAAACTTCTACCTATAGGCCACATACTGAAAAATGTTCAGTTCTGGTCTCCTTAGCTCATCAACAGGATTTGAAATAGTTGATCACTAAACTTACTTACTTACTTTACTTATTTATTTATTTATTTTTAGTTTTCGGCGGACACAACATCTTTGTATGTGGTGCTGAGGATTGAACCTGGGCCGCACGCATGCCAGGCGAGTGCGCTACCGCTTGAGCCACATCCACAGCCCATCACTAAATTTCTTGAAATGCTTTCTTATCTTGATTTATAGACCACCACATTTAGCTACTCAGCTAACTTCCTGGCTGCAGCTTCTCAGTTTCACGCGGGTTCCTTCTCGTCTCTTTGACCTCTGAATGTTGAAGAACCTCAGGGTTGAGTCTTGGAATAACTTCTCTTTTTCTAGCTAGGAACTTCATCCAGGTTCCTGGATTTCAAAACTAACTATATGCTACTGACTCCTAAAGGGTATCTTTAGCCTTTTCTCTGAACTGCAGACCCATATAACCAACTGCTTGCCTGACATCGCCAAGCTTAATATGCTTGTTAACCTCAGTTTGTTCAAAACTGATCTGCTGATATACCTCCCAGACTTTTCTCCATCTTAAGTAAAATGACAACTTTTTTTTTTTTTTTTTTTTTGAGCAGGGTGGGTGGGTACCAGGGATTGAATCCAAGGGTGTTTAACCACTGAGTTATATCCTCAGTCCTTTTTAATTTTTTATTTTGAGAAAGAGTCTCTCTAAATTGCTGTGGCTGGCTTTAAACTTGTGATCCTCCTGTCTCAGCCTTCTGAATGGTGGGATTATAGGTGTGCACCACCATGCCCAGTGACAACTTCACTCTTGCAGTCACTCGAGCCACAAACTTTGGTGCAATTTTTGATTCTTTTTTTTTTTTTGGAGCTGGGGATTGAACCCAGGGCCTTGAGCAGACAAAGCAAGCACTCTACCAACTGAGATATATCCCAAGCCCATTGATTCTTCTTTTTTTCATATATATCTCTGCATGTAGCCTGTCATCAAAACCTGTCACTCTAACTACAAAATATATTCTGAATTCAATCTCTGTTCTCCACTTTGATTATTACCACCCTGGTCAAGACTCCATCATCTCTTGTTCATATTATTGTAACCTTAGGTAGACTGCCTACTTCTGCCATTGTACCCCTTATGTTTCATTCATTCATTCATTCATTCATTCATTTATAGTGCTAAGAATTGAACCTGTGCCTCACGCATGCTAGGCAAGCACTCAACCACTGAGCTACAGCCCCAACCCTCTACAGTACTTTTCTTCCACAAAAATGCACAGCCAGGTCCCTCATTTCCTTTAGGTCTTTATTCAAAAGCCACTTCATCTAAAATTTTAATCTTGCTACCAGCATTTCCCATCACCCTTTCCTTTTTTACTTTTTCTTCTAGCATTTACTACTATCTAACAAACTATACATTTTGCCTATTTATCTTATTTATTATCTGTCTCACCTACTAAATATAAGCTCCTCAAGGGCAGGGATTTTATCTAATCTATTTGATTTTCTATTATATTCCCAGCATGTAAAACAGTGCCTGGTACAGAACAGGCACTCAATCAATAGCTGCTTAATAAATGAACATACCCTGAAGCACATATTAAAATTTAAATAGAGATGTTTACAATTGGTGATGTGGTTACTCTTTTTCTATGAGAATATATCTTGAAATGATAAGGATGGTTTTGAAAAAATAATTCAATATATCAACATATATAGCCAACATTTCTATAAATTTATCTAATTTGAAATGAAAATGAGCATTTGTTAGCTTTTACTATCCACAAGCAAATTATTCACAATAATATTAACTTCAGAATTGTGTTTATGCTCAGAACAACTCTATGGCTATCTTTCTAGCACTATTTTATGTGTAATCATAAGATTATAAATAGAAACCAACACTGGCCTATAATAAGAAAAATAAAATATACCCCCAAATCACAATGATTTAATGTTAAAGTATCTTCTGCTGTTTCTTTTTTCTGGAAGTCTCTAGTGTCTTTAGAATAAGAAATATCTGGATGTAAATCTTGTTTTTACTACTTTACTAGCTGTATAACTTCAGGTAATTGATCTATTCTGAGTACAGTTTTCTCGACTATAAATAGAGGTAATATCTATTTAATGAGAGTATTGGGAAGATGGTACAGTGCATAAACAAAATAGGCATCCAGCCAGGCATGGTGGCTCTGCAATCCCAGCTACTTGGGAAGCTGAGGCAGGAAAATCACAAATTCGAGGCCAGCTTTGGCAACTTAGACCCTTCTCATAAATTAAAAGAGAGAAAAGAAAAAAAGGGCTGTGTTCAGTGGTAGAGTGCTTGCCTAACATGGGTGAAGTCCTGGGTTCAAGTCCCTATACCTTAAAAAAACAAAAAATAGTCAGGCATGGTGGCACATGCCTATAATCCCAGGGATTTGGGAGGCTGAGGCAGGAGGATTTTGAGTTCAAACCCAGGCTCAGCAACTTAGTGAGGCCCTGAGCAACTCAGCAAGACCCTGTCTTTAATAAAATATAAAAAAGGGCGGGGATGTGACTCAGTGGTTAAGTGCCCGTGGGTTCAATCCCGTACAAAAAAAAAGATGTCCAATAAATATCAACTATTGTGAATTATTAGGATAACTCTATATTGTTGTCAAAACCTGTTTTTTGGTTAGACTGGCTGTCCATAGAGTCCCTCACTCATCAGTCTGAGAGTTTCTAGCACATTCAGAATGGAGTTATAAACTATAAAGACACTCAATACATGCAGCTTATGACTGGCTGATTTTGTTTTGTTGTGAGCTACTCACCTAAATAGCCTTGAGTCTTTTTCTGTAGTGCAGTTACTGGGCAGTCTTTATGAGCTAATAGTAGCTGTTTCAACTGAGCCACTTCATTGCGTAGTAATGTGACTTCATTCTGAGAGGGTAGGGAAGAAAAAAAGTATCAAGAAAATTCATCCTCCATTCTTGGATTCCCAATGGTTATCCCTAGACTGTGGATAGAATCTGCTTGGATTTTCCTCCCCAATTTGGATAAGACTCCTGATCCAGCAAGATTTAAAATAGCCAGGGCCAGGAATTCAACGACTATAGTTGCCTAGAATTAAAAGTAGAGATTCATAATAGAAAAAATTACTTCTATTTGAGATTAATATGATTATGCTGAAATTAATAATATATATATTCTTTGACTAAAAAAGGGTACATCTAGGAGTCTGTTTAACAGGACTATTTACTAAAGTGCTTGCAATGTTCACTGCAGCATTATTCTTCTTATAAAAATGAACAATATCAAAATTCATACCATATAATATAACCATACTACAGAATGTACTAATATATAGCTAGGTATTTAAAAGAATGAGGCTATCATGGCTAGGTTTCTAGGAGATACTGTTAACCTATTTATGTTTGAATCAACTCACATTCCCCCCAACTCCCATACAAAAACTATAAATGAAAAAATATTTAGAAATATGATTATCTCTGAAAGGTACATATCAAATTTATTTTCAGGGAAGAGAATGGGACCAGGAAAGGTAAATTAAAAAGGGACCTTGTTGGGCTGGGGATGTGGCTCAAGTGGTAGCGCGCTCGCTGGCATGCGTGCGGCCCGGGTTCGATCCTCAGCACCACATACAAAGATGTTGTGTCCGCCAAAAACTAAAAAATAAATCTCTCTCTCTCTCTTTAAAAAAAAAAAAAAAAAAAAAAGGGACCTTGTTGGGGCTGGGGATGTGGCTCAAGCGCTCAAGCGGTAATGCCCTTGCCTGGCATGGGTGGGGCGCTGGGTTTGATCCTCAGCACCACATAAAATAAATTAAAGATGTTGTGTCCACTGAAAACTGAAAAACAAATATTAAAAAATTCTCTCTCTTCAAAAAAAAAAGGGACCTTGTTTTCATTGTGTGTGTGTGTGTGTGTGTGTTTGAGAGAGAAAGAATAGAAAATTATTCATATTATCTTTGCAATTAAATGTTTTAATAATCAGAAAAAGGGAAAATAACATTCAAGAGAATGGATATAATTGTTCTATTTGTGCTTGTGTGGTTTCTTTTTTCTTTCATTAAGCTACATTTACTGGGGCAAAAACATTTCCCATTGGGTGTTCTATGACCCCAATCAGATTTTAGTAATGATTAAAAAAAAACATGCTGGAGTGTTTAATTTTCTCCACCCTAATGGGTCTATGAACTACTGGTTCTAGTAGCAGATTGGGGGGTAGATGGTAAGTCTTTCCCAATTAGGGAAGAGATCTCAATACTGACTATTAAGAGATCTTTTTCTGCATTCTTCCTGGTACAATTTCTGGATCTCTCCTAATTAAAGAATTACCATCATCTGTTATATTGTCCCACTTTTATCTGATCCAATAATTGTTTGGTGCCACTCACACTCAGCTGAATGTTCTGAGAAGTGAGTTCTTCTGCCTTTTTCTCTAGGGAAGACACCCATAGCTTCCGCTTCTGGCGGCAGCGGGAGGCTGCAGCCCGGTTGCGCTCCAGAAAACGTTGCCGCCGTTCGTCTGGATCTTCATCTACTGTGCGCCGCCGCCGCCCCCCAGTACTAGGAGTAGGCTGGGCTGGAGAGACCTGTTGCCCAAGAAGGAAGAGGAGTTACTTGATGGGAACATCAATCCTTTCCAAATCAAACCTGATATTAGGTAGAGTAGTAAGTTCTGGTAAAGATATGTACCAACCTGGTAACCTCAGCAAGTCTTGTCACTATGTCCTTTGCTGCTCTTTTATAGTAATTATTTCCTTATTCTGCTTCCCATTTCCTTCTAGTCCTCTTAGTATTATACTCAGACAAACCACAGTTCAGTTGAAAAACCAATTATTTTTGAGACAGAAAATGAAACTAGGATCATATTTTGTTTCTTTTTCTTTTTTGGTACCAGGGGCGCTCAATCACTGAGCCACATCCCCAACCCTTTTCACTTTTTAAGGCAGGGTTTCTCTTGCTAAATTGTAAAAGGCTGGCTTTGAACTCACAATCCTCCTGCCTCAGCCTCCTGAGCTGTTGGGATTATAGGTGTGAGTCACTGCCCCTGGCAACAATAGGGTATCCTTTTTTTCTTCAGAGGTTTAAACCCAAAGGCACTTTAACACAGCTACATCCCCAGTCCTTTTTATTATTTATTTTGAGACAAGGTCTCAATAAGTTGCTTAGTGCCTTGCTAAATTGCTAAGACTGGCTTCAAACTTGAGATCCTCCTGCCTCAAGTGGCTGGGATTACAGATATGTACCACTCTGCCTGGCAACTTTTAGGGAGATGGAAATACAATTTTGAGAATCATTGATTTGGACAAGCAATATGTACAAAAAAATTGTATGCTCTAACAGGTTTCAGGAAAGGAGAAAGAAAATGCTTCTATTCATCTCACTATGAGTAAGATACGGGCTTTCATAGGGAGACATGAATTAGTATTTTAAAAAAATTTATAATCAGTAATTAATCACCCTCAGCAAGCTACACCTTTTGTTTGCTTTTAAGAAACGTTTAATTTCTTTATGAAATGATATAGGACTGTCTTTTGTTTTTTAAACTTCAGGCTGAAGTGTATTATCTCTAAGGCACTTATGGATCATCTTCTCTTTCTGTTAGCTGGTACACATAAGAGAAGCCAAATCAATTTCCTAATAGCAACTAAAATTAAACAAATATAGAAAGGTCAGTCATCTGTAGAAAAGTAACTATATGCTATAAAACAAGCCCAAGGTAGATTTGTCTTGGATATGTTGCTAGTAGCAACTATTTCTATAATCCCAGAAATCCTATCAGTTTCATGAAGACAAGAATGAGATTACAAAACACAGAATCTTGTACTCCACTCCATGACCTTTTGAATTATGGTCTCCATTAAGATAGGAAATTAAGAGATGATTTCATTGTTCAGACTAATACTATCTCTCCCTCTTTTTCTTTTTTTTTTTTTGGTACCAGGGATTGAACCCAGGACACTTAACCACTGAATCACATCCCCAGCACTTTTTGTTTTTGTAATTTTGAGACAGGGTCTCACTAAGTTGCTTAGGGTCTTGCTAAATTGCTGGTGGTGGCCTTGAATTTGTAATCCTCCTGCATCAGATTCCTGAGTCACTGGGATTATAGGTGTGTGTTACCATGCCTGGCTAATATTCTCTTAAAGAAAAAAGTGAAGAGAAAATTTCAAAGACATTTAATGAATTACAGGCCTTGGTCACTGTATTAAGGGAAGACCTGTCTTCAAGAAATTTACAAAAATTCTCTTGAGAATTTCAAATTTTTCTTTGTCTTGAGCTCATCAGAGCACTTATCAATATGTGCTTTTTAAGGAGGATGGGGGAAAGGGAAGGCTAAGTTCCTCTTTTCTCATAGGCAACTAAGAAACTCATGCAAAGGATGGATATGAAAGGACAGGCCAAGAAAGGAAGGAAAAAGTAATTAGAAAGGAAGGTATGTCCTTTCCTTGGGAGGGAAAGCAGCACAGCTCTGGCAGGGAGCTACTGCTTTAGCATCTCCAGGACTAGCTGGCTTTTTAGGATGGAAGAGTACAGAAGGGTGGGCAGGTTTAGCTTCCATCAAGAAAATTCAAATGAAAGCTTGTGTTGGCGGCCAAGCTTTAAGGCAGCATATGGCCATGAAATGTTTGGACATGTGGTGGTAACCAATGAAGCAGGTGGTGACATCGGGAAAAGAGGGACTGGGCAATGGCTGTTAACTCTAGAAACCAATCTCAGGTCACTGTCACCTGTCCAGTTCACACAATTATGAAAACTGAGGACTAATCAGTTTTCAAAGAATCTTTTTAAAACATACCTCTGAATCAGGCATTTTTAAAAAAGGGACCTCTCTGGATTTTTTTAAGGATTTTTATTTGTCTGTGATAAAAAAAAAAGACTGACTTGGTAATAAGAAGGTATTTTTGTGTGTGTGTGTTTTCTTATTTATTTATTTTCTACTGAGCTATCGTACTCCTGAAACATCACATTATATTCATATATTATTATTACATGTTTTTTGTTATAAACACCTAATCCAGTAAGTTTTTTTTTTTTTTTTGGTGTGTGTTTTCTGGGGATTGAACCCAGGGGTGCCTTATCACTGAGCTATATCCTACCCCTTTGAAGCCCTTTTCAGGTTTTGTTGAAACAGCATTTTGCATACCAGTAACCCTGGAGGCTGAGGTAGGAGGATTGCAAGTTCAAGGCCAGTCTAGGCAACTTAGTGATCAAAATAAAAAAAGGACTCAGGAGTGTAACTTAGTGGTAGAGCACCCAATCCTCAGTACCACCCCTGCCCCCCACCAAAAAAAGGAGACAGGGGTTTTGCTGAATTGCACAGGCTGACCTCAAACGCAATCCTTCAGTCTCAGCCTCCCAAGATTAGATTAACCTGAGATTAACAGGTGTGTACCACTATGCCTGGCTAGTCATTTTGTTTTTTGGTAAGCTTTAATAGGTGGAAAATATATTAGAGGAGACTCCTGTAATAGTGAATAACCTAATGTGGCTTGGGGTGAAGGTTCTGTCACATTTCAGATGATTTTGGAATGCAGATACATTAAACCATTCACATATGAAAAAACAGAGTCCTCCTTTACAACAGCTCTGCAGTATTCAGTCTGCACATACTCCTAACACAAAGGTGGGTAAAGAATGGTGTGGGTTTTTTTTTTTTTTTTTTTTTTTTTGTAGTATTAAGGACTGAACCTAAGGATGCGCTACCAATTAACTACATTCCCAGTCCTATTTATCTATTTGTTTGTTTGTTTATTTATTTATTTATTTTTGTGCTGCTGAGGATTAAACCCAGGGCCTTGTGCATGCAAGGTAAGCACTCTACCAACTGAGCTATATCCCCAGCCCCCTTTTTGAGACTGGTTCTAGCTAAGCTGCTGAGGCTGGCCTCAAACTTGGTAATCCTTAGATCTGGAATTATAAGCGTGTGCCACTTGCCCAGGAAGAATGGTGTGTTTTGCTGCAGTCAAATTGTCAACAAAAACAAAAGTAGCAGGAAGATGTCCAGAAAGCTGAAATCCATTCTTCTCTAGTTGGTTGTTCCTTGAAAAATAGATGTGATATCAACAGTAAGTGTAATACAGGTGGTTCCCCCCAATCCAAAGGCCCAACTGACCTGTGGCTGGGCTGGGGATGGGGCATCAGGATGCTGGATGAGAATCTGGCTCTGCTCTGGACGGGAGGTTACCATGGTACTGGCAGTACCTACCACCATTCCACAACCACCATTGATTGAGGAGACTTGGTGGGTTAGGGTGGCTTTTAGTCTCTATGGGTAAAGGTAAGAAAAGAGAGGTTGTCAAGGGTGAGATTCTATCAAAGATGAAAAACATGGGCTTAAATTATAGTTAAAAATTCTATTCCAACTTTCCCTTACCAGAAAAATTAAAAGAAAATGACAGGGAGAGAAAATGTGCACCTGGATCCTTAAAATGCCTACTCTGTTCCCTGGCTGTCATCCTGGGCACAGTTGGGGGCTGGAGGTTGTTGAAGCAATAGAGTCCAGATGAAAGCTCTCTCATGGAACCTGGCCAGATGCTGGTTATGCAGCTATTCACCTCTTGGCCAGCTCCCCTGCCCACTCACCCACCCTCCATCTGTCACCCTGTAACTAAAACGGCAAGTGTTCCATTCCAAACAATCTGTGCTGCCTCTTTTCACTGCCATGGTCTATGTACCAGGCTCCAACGGTGGGGAGAGTAGATGAGAGTCATGAATCAGGGTCTTTTCTTTTCCAAATCCCACAGCAGGGTGTCCTTAGCTTTGTAAGCCCCAGAAGGTTCCTTTACTCAGCTCACTTGAAAAACCTAACTGATACTACTCCTTTCAGAGGGCCAATATTACCAAGGCTGGTATGTACTCACCATTTTGGCTTCTGATGGTACAGGATGGCCAGAGGGAGAAATGGAGCCACTGCTATTAACTGGCGGGCCAGGGATACCAGGAATGTTGGGCACCATGGACACAGGTCTGGCCAGCTGTATCAAGACAAGAACCAAAACAAAACAAAAAACCATAGAAGGAGGCAATGCTATTGGTTTTCCTAAAAAGAGGTGATTTTGAGATTGGCATTTTAGGGTCTGTTCTAAGTGACCTGCCCATAGGGCATTTAGGAATAGCTTGAGGGAATCTAATCCTTCAGTGTTGGGGCAATTTTTGTGAGAAAGGCTGGGTGGGGCTATACCTTTTTTTTTTTTTTTCCCCTTTTGTGTGTGGGATCGATTCTAGGACCTTACATGCACTAGAAAGAGATCTACCACTGAGCTATAACCCTGGCCTGGGGCTATATCTTCAGGAAAACAGTAGGCAATTTGGGAGATGGAATGTGCCAAGTGAAATCAACAATCAGTGGACTGGCAAGATCAATCCTAAAACCAGGAGCCAGTTGTCCAGATGAGGCTCTGTCTAGCATTTCACAGTGCTTGACCTGGCAGTGGTTAGTGAAGAGTTTGGGCAGCCTGCCATGCTCAACAAATACAGACCAGAGGTGGTATTTCCCTGGGGCCCCTCTGTGATTATGACTATTCAGGTGGAAAGGAGGGATTAGTGTGTTGGTAAGGTTGGATGACTCAACTATAGAGCTCACCGATATAACAGAAGGCATCTGAACTGGAGGTCCCGGCAGCACAGGCATGGTCTGTCCATTAGCAAGATGCATGACAAGAGGAAGGGAGCCAGTGGGAGACCTTCAAGAGACATGAAGTGAAATGCTCACAATATAGATCTTTTGCCTATGGATCTTCCTCCAATAATGAGCAGATTTTCGATTCTTTTCTAGTTAGGGAAGGGGCAGAGCAGAATTTCAAAATCTAGACACCCTCTCAAAATGGGGAAAAGCAGGGATGCTAATAACCTTACAGATGGAGAAAATGACCAAGTTGTTTTTTTTTTTCCTTTTTTCTTTTTGTGGGCTAGAAATGGAACCCAGGGGCCTGGCACATGCTCTATCACAGAGTTATACCCTCAGCCCAGTGAAATCCTTGTATCTTAAAAATTAAACAAACTCAATGGTAGAAAGCTAATCCCATTAAGGCTTTAGAACAATTAAATTAACATCCCTACCAATGACATAAATAAGTTCTGTCTTGCCTTAGGCAAGAGGGAGTTGGATTAAAGTTGTCAATTTGCAAAGATGAATTATGTCATTTAATGGTCAAATTTGAATAAATTTCCCTTCTTTCTTTCCATGTTTTGCTCCCCTGCCCCCCAAAGAAGCTGTCTTTAATTTTTCCTAGTGAGTCCAGAGAAGAATAATCTTTAAATAAGCTTAATCCTGACAACACCCTCTTAACCCATGGGTCCTTAATGGTCCCATCAGAAAAATCGTCTGGGCCATGCAAGGAATAAAGAGAATTAGACAAACACAATTAGGGATAGGAAAGACCAAAGACCCTAAATGGGATTGAGAGGACCACTAGACTCAAGGAAGATGACTTGATGGGTTTCAACCTTTCATTTACTTTATAGGTGTGAGGCTGAGAACTAAATATACCTTGTTATCTGGCCTCCACCACTAAGATAAACTTTCTAAAGTTTTATGGATTCTTTTTTTTTTTTTTTTTTTTTTAAGATTAAAGAAGTATGAAACCTCCAAATAAATACTTGCTTGTCTATTAAAAAGGGTAAAGGAGATTCTATTTATGGGAGAAAGACTTCTTTCTTTCTTTTTTTCATTTTAAAAATTTTAATGTTACATATGAAAACAGAATGCATTACAATTCATATTACACATATAGAGCACAATTTTTCATATCTCTGGTTGTATACAAAGTAGAGTAAGAAAGATTTATTTTAAAATCTTACTTTTGTGGTGTTAGAGATCAAAACCAGGAACCCATACATGACAGACAAGCCACTCTACTATTTCGCTACTTCCCCAGCCCTAAAATTTGAGAAATAATCTTAGTTACTCCTTTTTCTTAGATTTCAAAAATACTTCCTATTGTAGAATTTCATAGAGTGTAAAGATTCAGGCTTCACTGTTTCTCCCTGCTCTCTACTTACCCCATTTGCCTGTTGGATGGTGGAGCCTGTGTGATGACTGAGGTTGGGGAAGGAAGGGTTGGATGAAGTGGATCATAGCCTAAGTGGAGAGGCAAGGAACCAGGACGGACGATGGTGGGCGTAGGGGTAGAGATCACAACAGGCTTTGGGGCAACTTCCTGGGGAGAAGAGACCAACATATCACAAAAGGCTTTAAGGGCTGCATATAGGGAAATGCATAATCAGTAAAATCTAGTACAAATTTATTGGAAAGAGCACTACAGTCACTTATATAAATCATGATCTGATTCCATCATGATCATACACTCATACCTCATTCACCCATTCGGTAGGAATGCTAAGTTAAGATCCCTTAGCCATCTCCCTCTCAGGGATAATGGTTAAATAATTGATAATTGGAAAGTCGCTTGGAATTTTTGTAGATGCACTATAATACCATATAAATTCAAGGGATTGTTACAACTTTTCATAATTCAGATATTTTCATTCTAAGCTTGATTTTCAAGCATCTTCTGACCTCCAAGGGGGAAAGGCAGATTCACTGGTAAGAGGGCAACTCATTTTCTCCTTTAGAACCCTTACAAAAAAGGGCTGTGGAGCTGGGTGTGGTGGCCCATGCCTGTAATCCCAGTGACTCAAGAGGCTGAGGCAGGAGGATCACAAGTTTGAGACCAATCTCAGCAACTTAATGAGAGCCTCAGCAAATTGAGAACCTGTCTTAAAATAAAAAATAAAAAGAGAGCTGGGGACTTCGCTGAGTAGTAAGCTCTCCTGGGTTCAATCCTCTGTATCAAAAAAACAAAAACCAAAATAACCCAACCAAACAAACAAAAAAACCCCAAAATGCTGGGCTGGGGATATAGCTCAGTTGGTAGAGTGCTTGCCTCACATGCATAAGGCCCTGGGTTCAATCCCCAGCACCACAAAAACAAACAAATAAACAAAAAACCCCAAATGCTTAAACAATGATCATACTGCAATAAAAATACTGATTCTCATTGTTAACTTGCTAGGATCGTAGGCTGCTGGTGGCCATATTGGCCTTGAAAGCATCTCCAGACAGTTTATAGTACTTGGTTGCTTATGAAAGGGGAGGGGGTAGGATGCCTGTGATATTAGAGAGAAGGTAATTTTGAGAAGTTACCAAACTAAATTTGGAGGAGAGTAAGATGAGGTACAGTTTACCAACAGTAGATATTAAAGTTAACCAATGGTAGTGCAGTATGGATGAGGAGGAGACATAGAGGGGCTTTTGAGGTTCTAAATAATATATATATATATATATATATTTTTAATTTGGGTGTGAGCTACAACAGGCAATTTGCTTTGTGAAAATTCAGTCAGCTATATACTTATTATTTATGTACTTTTCTGTACATATACTATCTTCAGTAAGTTTATAAAAAACTTCATAAAAAGTATCAAGATAATAAAAAACATAATAGAAACCTAGTGGATACTCCCTTTGATTTACTTCCCTATGGGAGTATTATTTAGGTACCAGGGATTAAACCCAGGGACACTTAACCACTGAGCCACATCTCCAGATCTTTTTATTTTTTATTTTGCGACTGAGACAGGGTCTTGTTAAGTTGCTTAGGCCTCACTAAATTGCTCAGACTGGCTTCAAACCTGCGATGCTCCTGCCTCATCCTCCTGAGTCACTGCACCTGGATGTGACTTTTCTTTTTCATTTATTCATTAAAGTATATTATAAACATAAAGTGCATTCATCTAAAGTTATTATAATAAAATGACTTTTTACACATATAAAATCAGAATAGAGACCGTTTCTAGCACCCAGAAGGTTCTCTTGTCTCTTCCCAATCCATGTCTTTCCTTCATGAGAGATATGCACTATCTTTTGTTGTTGTTTTGTTAAGACAGGGTCTTGCTATGTTTCCCAGGCTGGTCTCGAACTCCTGGGCTCAAGTGATCTTCTCATCTTAGCATTCTGAGTAGCTGGGACTAAGGAATGTGCACTATCACACCGGTTTAGTGCACACTATTCTGGTTCTATCATCAAATACTTTTGCCCCTTCTGGCACCTTATGTGAATGGAATCAAATTATATACTTTTGTGTCTGATTCTTTTGTTGTTGTTCAATATGTTTTGAGATTTATACATACTGCTGTATGATCATTAGTTCTTTATTCTTCTTTTGTGGTGCTGGAGATCAAATTAAGAGCCTCACACATGCTAGGCAAGCACTCTACCACTGAACTATAGCTATAGCCTAGTTTTTTTTTTTGTACCAGGAGTTGAACCCAAGGGCACTTAATCATGGAATCATATCCCCAGCCCTTTTAATATTTTATTTAGAGACAGGGTCTTACTAAAAGGCTGGCTTTGAACTCGTGATCCTCCTGCTTCAGCCTCCCAAGTTGCTAGGATTACAGGCATGCACCACCATGCCCAGCCCAGCCCAATTCATTCTTTTTTCTTTGCTATGTAGTATTCCATTTTAGAAATATAACACTATTGATTGATGGTGCTAGAACTGAACCCAAGACCTTACACATGCTAAGCAAGTACTCTATCACTGAGTTACACCTTCTAGACTCCCACAATTTATTTATCCTTTGGTTGATGGATATTCAGAATGTTTCTAGCTTTTTTGGCTCTTATGAATAAAATTACTATGAGCAGTCTTACATATTTCTTTTGTCAGGCAGGTATTAACTTCTCTCCTACTTAGTAATGGAATTTCTGTGCAAGAGAATAGGCAAAATTTATATAAATTTTCTAAATAATTAATATTCCTTTAAATAGAATCAACCCATTGCATCCAGCCATCCTTCCTATATCTTACATTATTTGTGAATCAAAACTTAATCTTGGGCTGGTGATGTGGCTCAAGCGGTAACGCGCTCACCTGGCATGCGCAGGGCGCTGGGTTAGATCCTCAGCACCACATAAAAATAAAAAATAAAGATGTTGTATCCACCGAAAACTAAAAAACAAATATTATAAAAATTTCTCTCTCTTTAAAAACAAAAAACAAAAAAACAACAAAAAAAAACTTAATCTGTCTGGGCTGGGTTTGTAGCTCAGTGGTAGGGTGCTTTCCTAGCATGTCAGAGGCACTGGGTTCGATTCTCAGCACCACATATAAATAAATTAAATAAAGGTCCATCAACAACTAGAAAAAAAAACTTAATCTATCAATTAATATTTGGGATGACTCCTAATAGAGAATTTTACCTTCTCCTTCAGGGGTGGGGAACAGGAGCTAGAGGCAGGACTTTCTGGTGGGGATGAGTCTACCTCTACTGGCTCTTCTTCTTTGATTTTGACGTCTGGTGTGGAAGGCAGAGACATGTCAAGGGGCCCAGCAGCACCCTGTGATGAAAGAGAATGAATAGAGTTCAATTTCATGAATCCCTTTAGGTTGAATCTATCTTTCCAGTTACAAGATGAGAGCATATGCTTCTAAGAAGTTCAGTCCTTGGTCAAAACACTGAACTGCAAGTTAAAGTATGGGTCCTATGCTTTATGTATAATTGGTTAAATCATTTTATCTTCTCAGAGATTCTATTTCCCTAACTCTAAAATGAAGATAAGACTGATGGTAAGCCAATACTTACAAAGACGGAAAATAAATTAAAAGATATCATTTAAATCCATGTAAATGTTATGATTATAATCTTTTTCAGGAAAGTAAAATGATTTCCTGAATCAAGTGCCTGCCTATTCCCAACCAACTCTGTTGGCCATTAAAAAGCTATGAATACTGGGGCTAGGGTTGTGGCTTAGTGGTAGAGCACTCGCCTGGCATGTGTGAGGCCCTGGGTTCGATCCTCAGCACCACATAAAGATAAATGATAAATGTATTGTGTTCATTTACAACTAAAAAAAAAAAAAAAAAAGCTGTGAATACCCTCTGTGCCAACCAGAATGACTAGGTTACCCAATTATCAAAAACAAATTAAGACGCCGGGCACAGTGGCACATGCCTATAATCCCAGTGACTTGGGAGGCTTAGGCAGGAGGATCCTGAGTTCAAAGCCAGCCTAAGCAACATAGTGAGGCCCTAAGCAACTCAGCAAGACCCTTTCTCTAATAAAATATAAAAAAGGGCTGGGGGGCTGGGGCTGTAGCTCAGTGGGCAGAGTGCTTGCCTAGCATGTGTGAGGTACTGGGTTTATCCTTAGCACCACATAAAAAATAAAGGCATTCTGTCTAAAACTACAAAAAAAAAAAAAAAAAAAAAGCGGGGGCTGGGGATGTGACTTGGTGGTTAAGCATCCCTGAGTTCAATCCCTGGTACAAAAAAAAAAGGCAAATGAAGACAAAATGGATATTAACATACTACAAACAAGACAGGAAAAGCTTTCTGGGGAACTCACCATGCTTGATAGTGATCTCACTCCAAAATCTGGAGCAGAAGGCTAGAAGTTTCAGAAAGATAATGGTTTTGGGGTAAAAAATAAAGGAGAGGCTGGGTATGGTGGTACATGCCTATAATCCCAGCAACTCGGGGGGCTGAGGCAGGAGGACTGCCGTGTTTAAAGCCAGCCTCAGCAATGGCGAGGCACCAAGCAACTCAATAAGACCCCGTCTCTAAATAAAATATAATATAGGGCTGGGGATGTGGCTCAGTGGTTGAGTGCTCCTGAGTTCAACCTCTGGTACCACCCCCTGACCAAAAAAAAAAAAAAAAGAAAAAGAAAAGAGAGTCTGATCATCTGATCAGTGAAAGAAATTAGAAATTGTTTTTAGGAACAGGAATGAAAAATTGAGAAAGTAGAGTGCTTTCCTGGCAGTAGTGTGATCACCTCACAGAACTCTGGAGCTTTAAGTGGCTCTGCAGGGAACAGTAAACTATTTGAGATAAATGGTACAGACTCTGACACTGTACCACAAAAAGAGGGCTGATTTCAGTTCAGTTTCATGACAAAGTGGATTTTTTTTTTTGTTCCATTCATATCCTGCACTTCTTGGTGAAACAGGAGCTTGTTTCTGTCTTACCTTGTACCTTAGTCCCTAGAAGTCTTCTAGGTAGCTAGCTGAATAAACTAAAGATAATCTGTATCTACTACACTAAAGAAGGTAGTAATGGTTCTTTCTCCCCAGTCTGATTGAGGCTGAGGAACAGAAAAAATGGTTTCATTTCTGCCTCATTCTTTCTATATTGCTAAGATATCAGGTCCAATTTGGCTAATTTTCAGAACAATGAAGTCAGAGCTTGGTGGGATTTTAAACCAAAATCTCCAAAAAAGCTGTGGTTCAAGAAAGTTTCAGGCTCATTAAACACTCCTGGAGATCATGTGTTTTTCATCAAGGGTAGGTAAAGACCACCTTGGACAGACAGGTAGAAATATTAAGGGAGGGGCTGGGGTTATGGCTCAGGGGTAGAGCACTCGCCTAGCAAGTGTAAGGCCCTGGGTTTGATCCTCAGCACCACATAAAAATAAATAAATAACATAAAGGTATTGATTGTGTCCTACTACAACTAAAAAATAAATATTAAGAAAAAAAAAAAAAAGAAATATCAAGGGATGTCCATCGAGGAAATATTCCAACTATGAACTGGCCTCCCAGAAGTGTCAACCAAGCTGAAATGACAGTGGGAAAGACTTGCAGTTTTTTAAGGGAAGCCATTTTTCTTGAATTTTCCTATTAAGAACTTGGTATAAAAATTTCTTATATCCTGGTAGAAATAATCTGACTACTTACTTTGTTTTGAGAGAAGGGGAAAATAGGGATGCTGTAAATTATATCACATAAGTTGAGGTAGCAGAGAGATGAGAGACCTGGGTCTCTAAAGTAAAGATTTCAGAAGACTGTGGCTAGTTCTCCCATTTGAAAGAAGAGCTACATATATATGCCATTATTTTTCCATGCCTTTTTTTTTTTAAGTTAGAGGGAGACAGCATGAAATGAAGCTCATAGAAAGCTGTGAAACTTTTGAGATATCTCTGGTGATAAAAACACTTTATCTAGCATTTTTACAATTTAAGCTGGATGGAAAAATCAGGTATAGCTATCTTCATTTACCTGCTGTCCTCCTCTTAGAAAGAGTTTCATTGAAAATTTTTCTTACATTCTGTGTTTTCTATATTCTGATTTGATTCCATGCCTCTCTAAACCATGCAATTATGAGGTTCATGTGTTAATAAATATGTTTGGGGACACAGATATTGGCATCTCTTCTGAATTATTTTGCAATACAAACCTGATTTTATGTTACTTATTTATTTATTTTTTGGTAATGAGAAGTGAACCCAAGGGTGCTTAACAGCTAAGCCACATCCCAGCCCTTTTTATTTTAATTAATTAATTTATTTTGGTGCTGAGTATCATACCAAGGGACATTACCACTGAGCTACGTCCCCAGCTTTTTTTATTTTTTATTTTGAGACAGGGCCTCACTATGTTGCTGAGGTTGGTCTCAAACTTGTAATCCTCCTGCCTCGGGCTCCTAATCCTGAAATTACAGGTGTGAGCCACTGTGCCCAGCCAGACCTGATTTTAAGCAGTGACTAAAACCCCTGAATTCTAAAGTAAACTTTGACCTTTCCATTTTTCTTTTTTTTCCCAAACTCCTTATTTCATGGGAACTATATTTCTTTGGCTCTGCTTCTTTGACATTTTCCTCTGGCATTCCAAACTAAGGGGTCCTCATGAATCTGGAGTATAAAAAGTTTAAAACCAGAATCATAGAACCTCAGGATTAGAAGGAATTCCAACATTTTTAATCCTTACCGCAGAATTTTCCACTAACTGCTCTATACATCTGTATATATTGTGTGATAGCATCCACCCAGTGATCCTGCTTCTATTCCTGGGCCACAAAGAATAAATTTAATTCCTTTTTTACATAAAAGTTCTTCAAGTATTTCAAGACAACAATTTTATTTGTACTAAATCTCTTTTTCAAGCAAAACTTTCTTAATTTCTTTAAATGTTTCTAAAGTGACATAACTTCTAATTCTTTCACTATCCTGGCTGATCTCCTTAAAAAGACATTAAGAACATCCTTCGTGGGGCTGGGGCTGTAGCTCAGTGATAAAGCACTTGCCTCACATGTGAGGCACTGGGTTTGATCCTCAGTACCACTTAAAATAAATAAAGATACTGTGTGTTCATCTATAATTTAAAAAAAAAATTTAAGAAGAACATCCTTCTTTAATTTTAATGCCCTGAATGGTACTAGAAAGCTATTTGAAGGCAAGAACCATGTATACAGAAATAAAAAATAGAAATTCAATATGTTTATTGATTAGATGACTGAGTAAGAATGGCCCAGAAGAGAAGTCTACTCAGTTTAGAAAAAAGTGGGATTTACAATAAAAACATTTAACAAAATTTGAGAAATTCATACTACCCCTTTTTAATTTTATCTATCTATCTATTTATTTTTTTGGTGCTGGGAAAAAACCCATGGGCATACACAATCAATCCTTTTTATTTTGAGACAGGGTCTTGCTAAGTTGCAAAGGCTGGCCTCAAACTTGTGATCCTCCTGTCTCAGCCTCCCAAGCATCTAAAATTATAGGAATATGCCACTGTGCTTGGCCAATTGATAGTCTTTTAACATCAACATAGTCAAAATAAATTTTTGTTGTTGTTGTTGTTGTTGTTGTTTTGGTGATGCTGGGGATTGAACCTAGGGCTATGTGCATGTAAGGCAAGCACTCTACCAACTGACCTATATCCCCAGCCCAAATAATAAATATTTTTTAAAAAATATATAACTGAAGTTATACTCCACTGGAGGGGTAGGAAGATTGATTTTTGATGAAGACAGAACTGTGCTGATCCACCATCTGAACTCTATCTAAAGTCCTGGATGGAAGACTAGGACTGGTGAGTATTATTTGGTTCTATAGAACCAACCCCATGATTTTGTGCTTTAACCAATTAAGCATATTATCCCAAGATACAATAACAGACTAAACTGGAACATGAGCAGTTATTTATTTTTTTCACAAGTCCCGCCTCTTGCCTTTTTCTCATCCTCATCTGCAGCTTTCTTGAATTCATGTTCAAAGGAGCTAGCTAGTTCATTGAAGAGTCCCACCTCCTCACAGTTCTTCAGGAATCTAGTTGGAGTAGGAGTTTGATCTGTAAACATGAAAAAAAGAAACTTACTTTTGACCTAAAATTAAAACTTGAGAGTACATAGAAAATATGTTTTTATTCTGTTTGGAGACAGGGAGTTTGTTTTATGGCAAATTTGCTTTTATAGAGCTCTAATAGGTGAAGACTGGTGCTAGGCCACCAGAGGGTGTCTGTGTTGTATTGCCTCAAGACCAGCAGGGGGAACACAGGACAATGTTTTGTGGTTGATTATCCATGTACCCACCTTTCAGTCTGCTTTTTCTTTTTCTTTTTTCTTTTTTGCATCTTTTACAACAAAACAAAACAACCAACACAGGTGAAGTTTTGTGAAATCTCTAGCTTCGAAAAGTAGGTACAGTTAAGCAGTGTTTTCTTTTTAAACTTACCTCTGCTAGGCCTGTTTGTTTGTATTTGAGATGGGATACCTTTCACTATGTTGCCCAGGCTGGTCTGGAACTCATGAATTCAAGTGATTTTCCCACTTCAGCCTCCTGAGTAGCTTGGACTACACACAGACATGTGCTCACTATATCCAGCTTCCCTGCCAGTGCTGAATTAAGTAGGTATAAGCAAATTTATATAAAAATCTGATGAAGAAAAAAAACTGAGGATCATATGGTTGAGCTTGCCTGCTAAAGATACCAAAAAAGAAATAATGAAAGATGTGGTAGTAAACAACTGTAATCCTAGCTACTCAGGAGGTTGAGGAAGGAGAATTGCAAGTCCAGAACCAGCGTGGACAACTTAGGCCCTGTCTCAAAATGAAAAAAAAAAAGAAAGGGCTAGAGCCAGGCATGGTGGCACAAGACTGTAATTCCTGGGATTTAGGAGGTTGAATCAGGAGGATTGCATATTCAAGGCCAGCCTGGGCAAGTTAATGAGAGCCTGTCTCAAAAATGAAAAGGGTTGGGGTATAGCTCAGTGGTAGCATGCCCCTTGGTTCAATTCCTAGTACCCACCCACCAACACAAATAAAAGGACTGGGGATGTAGCTCAGAGGTAAAACACTCCTAGATTCTATCCCCAGTACCAAAAATAATAATAATAAAAATTTAAAACGAAGAAAAAGGAATGGTGCCTAGTCTTTCAGTGGTTACCAAGTTATGGATCTGTTACCTTCTGAAGGCGTTCCAGGCAAATCTAGGCACTGGGGAGCAAGAGAGCAATACCATGAGCTAGAAAAGGAAATTGCAAACAATAGGGCTCATTTCACAGAGACCAGGGCCCAGAGCAAATTCCGGAAACCAGGATATTTGGATTTAGACTTGCCGGCCAAAATATCCCCAAAGGGGCAATGCAAATCTTTTCCTTAACAGAATGCCTCTGCTCTTAGGGAGAGGTCTTGGTAATCCAGGGGAACTTTTCAAGCAACTTGAATTTCAGATTTGAGCTTCCCTCTCCTTACCCTGCTTCTCTGGAAAAGAAAAGATCCTATTCCTTGATCTCAAAACTCTACAATGGTTTTACTTGCTAAAATGCTAGTCCCCTCAGTGATTAATCTCCTATGCCCAAAAAACTAGACTGAATGATAAACAGGACAATTGTTTAAATTATATTTTAAACAATGAGACCTAGGGTCAAAATTGACCATTCTAGCAGGATCACTTAGAAATAATCCCACAGGATTTTCCATGGAAACAACATTTTTTATTTTTAAACTTAGAAAAGCTCTTCTGAATCAGTGTGTTTAGAAAAGTTACCACTACCTCCCAAAATAGTTTTAAAAGGTTCTCCTGCAGCTTTGGTTGGCTAACAATTTCCTTCCACCCCAGAGCAAGTAGAGGTAGTATCATCTTTTATACTTAGAATGCTTCAGAAAGGGCACATAACAAAATTATGAAATTATAACTCAAGTGTTCAGAAGGGGCAGCTAAGGGCCTGGTGATGACAGAAGAGGAACTCTGGACTTGTGATCTGAGGCTCACAAACTTTTCCCACCCCCTGCTGTTCATAGTCATTTATAATTTTTATTTTAAAGGTTCCTTTATGTTAAACCTAATTCCTCACTTTCCAGGTGGCCTCTAACCTTCAGGGGATGTGGTTCCTGAACAAATGGACTAAAAACATGTAAGAAAACCTTTAGCCTGCCCTGATGATTCCTAAAATATAAATAAGTATTTACTGAATATTGTCTTTTGTGTTTTGGTGCTTCAGTGCATACACTTGGGTATAAACTGGGGGAGGGATGGGAGTATAGACCAAATATAAGACCTGGGTCTTATCCTAGAGAACTAAGAGAAAGTTTTCTAGTTGAAAAAATAAAATGAATATTCATGGATAGCATCACACTGTGATAGCATGGCAGTGTACAAAATCAGTGCTATGTATACTGAGGAATAAAATTGTCACAGAAATTAAATACAGACACATTAATGACATAATAACACATAAAGTTGTTAGAAAAAAATTTAAAGAAGTAGGATTTGAGCCAGGCCTTAGAGAATAATCTCCCATGTGCTCTTGCATTTGTCCAAGTTGTCTCTCAGCATTCAAAGCACTATTTACTCACCATATCTGGAGGCTAAGGAGAGTAGTGTAGGTAAAGGCCCAGAGAAAGGCAGAGTATGGTTACCATGATTATGGATGAGGAGAAGGTATGTCTAATTAAGATAATTACTTTTTTTAATATTTATTTTTTGTAGTTGTAGTTGGACACAATAACTTTATTTTATTTATTTATAGGTGGTGCTGAGAATCGAACCCAGGGACTTGAACGTGTGAGGCAAGTGCTCTACCTCTGAGCCATAACCCCAGCCCCAGATAATCATTTTGTAATAAATAAATTCTATAGAAAGTTGGGTGAATAACAGAGGGCTAAGTTATGGACAGCTGAAATCCCAGGTATAAACAGTTTTAACCCATTAAGTCCCATCTTTCCAATTCTGCAAATATTTCGAGTAAATTGAAACCAATGCATTAAGATAGGTTAGAAATCATAATCTAGAGCTTATATATCCTTTATTATTATTTTTTTTTGAAAAATAGTTTTAGTTATAGATGGACACAATGCCTTTATTTATTTATTTAGGTGGTGCTGAGAATCGAATCCAGTGCCGCATACATGCTAGGCAAGTGCTCTACCAGAGCCATAACCCCAGCCCCTATCCTTTATTATTAAGAATGAGAATACAGGTGGGTGTGGTGGTACATGCCTGTAATCCCAGCACCGAAAGAGGATTGAAAGTTCAAAGCCAGTCTCAGCAACTGAGTGAAGCACTGAGCAACTTAGCGAAACCCTGTCTCAAAAAGAAAAATAAAAAGGGCTGAGATATGGCTCAGTAGTTAAGCACTTCTGGGTTCAATTCCTAGTACCAAACAAACAAACAAACAAAAAAAGAAATGAGAACATATTGTTCATATAGGCAAGTAGGACAAAGGGCAACTATGGTATCTGGGACAATGAGACAAAAATGGGTTAACATAAAATAATGACAGATTTTGACCATAAGAGTAGAATTTAAGAAAGACTAACTTTTCAGTAGTATGGTAGATAGACTAGTCAAAGAGGCCAGCTAGGAGAGTTTAGAGGAATCTAAATATAATGAGGACAGTGGCAGGAAGAACAGGAATGCTATGATTTGGATTCCACTTAATGTTAATTCTGTCAGTATTCATGTTGTTTGTATTGTTCACTTGTATTTTTTTGTGCAAATAGTATATGTTTTTCATGTATATATGTCCTGCTTTAATTAAGTATGTTTTACCTACAGAGATAACATCCTATCCACTCTTCCCTAAGATCTTCAGGTTTTAAGAATTACTGATGACACTGTTTCTATTCGTATCCTTTTCTCAGGGATTATGAATCTACAAGCTCCTGGAAAAATACCTGGTGCACTCAGTAGATATTCAATAAATATTTGCTGAATTAATATGGAATATGGGATTTATAAGAGGTTCTGTCCTTCTCCATGTCTAGGATAGCATTTTGGCTAATAATACTTAAGAGAAATTGTGCTTTAATTGATTTATTAATTGATGTGATAATCTCCAACTAAATACACTATTGATTAAATATTAGCTTGGGTTAAATCAGAACCTTTCTTGGTATCCAAAGAATAAGTCCACTTTGGTTTTTGTATGTCTGTCTAGCTGCAAACGGTACAAAAGAACTACTGTAAGATTTGAGAGTGGTTACAAAGAGTGCTCCCTTGAGAATGTCGCATGGAAGCAAGACAACATCTAAAAAAACAACTGGTGAAAGGTTCCAGGTCACCCAAATTGGCTTGGAAAAGTCCCACTGACTAAATGTCTTGTTTGGGTTCTGGAAATGTGCCCTCAACAGTGTCTGGGTTCACAAGGGAAGTTGAATTTACGAACTGATAATCAGCCTGCTGGAAGAAAACTGACACCCAGTGGAAGAGAAACAGCCAGCCTAAGTGGGCTTTTTTGCCTTTTTTCTACCCCTTCACTGTGGGTAGGGGGAAATGTCAAAGCCATCTCTTGTCTGTAAATCTTCTAAAGGCTTAATAAACAGAAAGCAAGGAGAGAATAGATTGAAAAAAGCTAGGACAAAGCCTCAATACATTTATTCTCAAAAACCACAGAACACAATCTCATTATTAAAAACAGTGGAAAGCATAATAGAAATTTGGGAGCTTTTAGTGTTCCTTTTTCCTGATTAAATGCAGATCACATAAGGGATCTTGATTGGAGAAGGGGAGAACAGCTCCCAGTACATCTGGTCCCTGGTATTAATCTTAACTGTCTGGTGATAGCAAGGCTTGTGGCTTTTGGGGCAGCAAATACCTGCGATGATGACTGAGTCAGTTCGGGCTGGGCCAAATTTCAATGTCATCTCATGCTTGTGTTTATGAACTGCCAGGTGGTCCTCATTTGTAAATCTCTGAAATGAAACGGAAATAGAGATGTGAAACAAACAAACAAAAAACTCCACCAATTCAATGACCTTTTAAAATATCCTAAACCAACATGCTGCAAAGAGATTGGTCCCTAGAAAGAGAGAATGGAAGAGAGAAAATATTGGAAGTGATGGAAAAGGAGAAGAGATGGAGAAAAAAGGTGCCGGGAGGCAGGGAAGAGAGGAAAGGGAAAAGACCACAGCACCAACTGCTCTGTAATATCAGGTCCAAATGATAGAAATGGACAGATTGTTGGTGGAGTGGGGTCCAGGAGGAGGCTCCAAATGAAAAAAACCAGTAAGACAAACTTGCAGTGAACAAGGGGAAAACAATTTTTATTAATAATAATAAAGAGAGAAGAAGGGAAAGGCTGGGCACTTGGTCATCACAAAAATAGGACATTTCAGAACAAAGCTCTCCATGGTGGAGCTGAGTTGGACTATTTTATGAGGGGACTAACAGGGAGATAAATTATGCAGGATTAGGAGAATCATTTAACTTCCTGGCCCCCACAGTGCTGCAGCAGGCGCCTGCATGGCTATTTGGCTCAGGGTTTTAATGAGCCAGGACGGAGCTATAGAGGACAGAGGCCCAATGGCCAGCAATAATGGCATACACAGCCCCATTGGCCAAATGTTGTCTCCCCTCATGGGGCAGCCTGCCTGGGCTCCATCAGCCATAAAGGGGCTGGTACAATGCTGCTAGCTGTATAATGGAAGAATAAAAATGTAAGGGAAAAAAAATTAAGGGTAGGGAGGAGCCTGTAGGCAGGATGAGGGAAGAGAAAAGGAGAAGGCACAGAGATTTTATTTGTTCAGGGGCGTGGATGAAAGAACAATGAAGAGGTGCAACAAAGTCCACCCCAGTTTATGACTAGGTAAGACAGGGTTACTGGACAATAATTTATACTTCTACCTCTTTAAAAGGAGGAGGTGAAAGGAACAGATGAACAGCAGTAATTCAAAAGAACAGTACTCTCAAACGTCCCTTTGTGGCTACTGGTCATGTTCCTTCATTAAAACATGCCTACAACACAGTAACTGCCGGGATGCTGCAGCTTTCCACAGCTTCTTCAACAGGGAGGCTCTGAAACATGATTCTATTTGTCTTTTTGTTTCTAAAAATAGTGATTGATGGCTTAATCCACCTTTCTCTTTCATATATATATAGATATAGAGATATAGACCCCCCACAAAACACCACACTTTCAACCCTCCTTTCCACAACTCATCTGCAAAACAAATACACAGGAGTTGGTCCCATTCTAGTTCCCACCCCCATCCAGAAAACAACACTAAACTGTTTCAGCTCCTTTATTTTACCCCAAAGTAGCTTTTTTCCAAATTCACTTCTAAAGCCAGGTTAAGATCCACATTCTTTCCAAGCAAGGCAGATGTGGCCTAAAGGGCACAGGGAATTTTCAATTAAAAGTGAAGATCCAAGAAGTCAGTCAAAAGAAAACTACCTTAGTGGTTTCTAATGGATCTAAGACAAAAATGAACAAAATATAGGAAAATTTCATCAAGAACTATAGTTTTCTCTATTATTGGTAAACCCCATACACGAACTTTTTCAGTTACAGATTTTCCCTAAGGGATGGTAGGAGTGGAAGGATAGGTGACAGTCTGTTAACCAGGGATATATATGTAGGTTAAACAAGTTACTATACAGGGTCTGTGATTGCTTTGTATTTGATAAAAGGAAATAAGCAGAATTGTCTACAAGGGGAGAAAAACAACAACATAAAAAAAACCCATCAAAAACATCCTTTTAAGGGGAGACAAAAGGTAGTGGATTAAACAGACTTGTTGATACTGGTAATTTCAGGAATCTTTTTCAAAAATATGTTTATAGGCACTTCAAGGAAATTTCATGCAGGTAGTTTGAAAAACTTTGAACAATGTTCTCGAACCTGAAAGAATTGACTTTAAAAAGAATTTTCTTTTGTAGTTGTAGATGGACAGAATGCCTTTGTTTTTATTTTTTTAAATGTGGTGCTAAGAATTGAACCCAGTGCGTCACACATAGTAGGCAAGCGCTCTGCCACTGAGCTAGCCAAAGAATTGACTTTTAAGCAAGAAATCCTCCTCTACTATCAGAAATCTAGTTTGCTTTAAAATAAGCTGATAGTAAGATTTTAAATCTCTATCAGGTTTGGGTCTAGTTAAGATTGTTCAGTATTTTATTATTTGAAACTGTTGATTGAGTCCAGGGTCTTAAGCACGGTAGCCAATCACTCTACCACTGAGCTATATCCCCAGACCCTTATCAATATTTTAAAAGGCAGTTCCTCCCTTTGGCTACAACTGTCTGCATTGGCCTGACATGTTTCATTTGTCTAGTTCTTGTTCCTCTTTGCTCCTTACCCCTGTTCTCCAAACCCCTTTCAAGTCACCCATGAGCTATTTATTTTTTCCAAATCAAAAGCTGGGCCTGAAGAGAAATGTAGGTGGCAGAAGGGATTTACCACCTACTAGCATCTCAGAGGGTTTGATGAATCCAAAACTCTAGTTGAACTAAACTCTAGCTGAAATTTAGCATTTCTAATTCATAATAGAAATTCCACATTTTTATAGCACCTTGTAGTTATTACAAGATACTGCAAAATATTCTTTTTTCCTCTGGGGATTGTTTCTAGGCCTTTGCATGATTAGCACACACTCCATTACTGAGCCTCACCCCATCATGCCTGAAAATATTCTGGGTTTTTGTATTTTTGTTTTGCAGTACTGGGATTAAATCTAGGGTGCTCTACCACTGAGTCACATCTCTAGACCTATTTGTTTTCAAACAGGGTCTCATTAAGTTGCCAAAGCTGGACTTAAATTTGTAATCCTCCTGCCTCAGCCTAGGGAGTCACTGGAATTATAGGCCTGTACCACCATACCCAGGGAAAATAATCTTTATACTCATCACTATTTTGAAGTTATAGTAGCTACCATACCCACCACTAGAGCTTATTTAATGCACTAATTAAAAAGCACATATATTATTATATATTTTTTCATACATTTGATAACTTTAAAATTCCACAGAATTCCATATAATTTCCTTTAAAATCCTATGTATTTTATGAATTTAAAAGCATTACTTTAGGAAATGGTTCACTGGCTTCACCAAACTGCTAAAGGAGGTCCATGACACCACTACTACTAATAACAATGATCTCCAAGTAAACAATGTAGTATACTTCAGAGGAGGAGGAATCAAAAGGGCATATTTTTAAGAAGCAGGGCACTATCCTAGTCTTGGCCCCAGTCATCTGTCCCTCCTATTTATAATGTAATTCTTGTAATCTTGAGTAGGAGGGGGAGAATGAAAGCTTACTGAAGCTTTGGTCAAAGTGAAGGCCAAGAGGAGCATGCCGGAGCATGCCTGTAATCCCAGTGGCTCGGGTGGCTGAGGCAGGAGGATTGCAAGTTCAAAGCCAGCCACAGCAACTTAATGAGGCCCTGGGCAATTTAACAAGATCCTATCTGTAAATAAAACATAAAAAAGGGCTGGGGATGTGGCTCAGTTGTTGAGCATCCCTATGTTCAATCTCTGGTACCCAAAAAAAGCCAACATTATTGTTGGCTATTGTTTTGAATATTCCTTACATTTTTCTGTTTATTAGAAGTTAATGTCTTTTTTTTTTTTTAAGTGATTTTTTTTTTTTTTTAGAGAGAGGAGAGAGAGAGAGAGAGAATTTTTTTTAATATTTATTTCTTTTAGTTCTCGGCGGACACAACATCTTTGTTGGTATGTGGTGCTGAGGATCGAACCCGGGCCGCACGCATGCCAGGCGAGCCCAGAAGTTAATGTCTTAAGAATTCTCTAGAACCTTCGTCTTACAAAGGCATTTCTTTGGTTCTCTGTCTTTGGACATGTAAGCATTGGAGGAAAAGAAATTTTGTGGATTTGGAGAAGTCTGAGGCCAGCTTGTTCACTGTAGGCTCAGGATCAATCATCCCACATAGAAGAGGAGGAAAAAAAAAAAGAATTCTCTAGATCAGGGGCTGGGAGTATAGCTGAGTGGTAAAGCACTTGCCTAGCATGTATAAGGCTCTGGGTTCAATCTCCAGCACTGGGAAAAAAAAAAAAAATCTTCTCTAGATCAGCACACCCTCCCACTACTCACGGTGATAGGGATTGAACACAGGGCCTTGTGCATGCTAGAAAATCAGTCTCAAATTTCATGCTTTGGGAATGATCCCTCTAAAAGCAATTTCTGAATTAAAATAGCCAAAATTATTAATTGATAAAAATTTTGAACTTAGTAAAATACAGAATATTCTTTTTTTTTTTTTTTTTTTTTTTTTTAATATTTATTTATTTTTTTAGTTCTCGGCGGACACAACATCTTTGTTTGTATGTGGTGCTGAGGATCGAACCCGGGCCGCACGCATGACAGGCGAGCGCGCTACCGCTTGAGCCACATCCCCAGCCCCCAGAATATTCTCTTGAATCAAAGAGGTAGAAGGGCCAGGTGTGGTGGTACATGCCTATATTCTCATCTACTCAGGAGGCTGAGGCAGGAGGATTGCAAGTTTGAGGTTGGCCTAGGCAATTTTGAGACCTTGTGTCAAAAAAGAAACTAAAAAAATACCAGGAGGGTAGATCAGTAGTAGAGTGTTCCTGGAAAATTACTACCTATCGGGTGTGGTGGTATACACTTGAAATCCCAGCAACTAAGGAGACTGAGTCAGGAGAATATCAAATTTGAGACCAGCTTCAGCAACTTAGTGAGAGGCCCTAAGCAATTTAGCAAGACCCTGACTCAAAATAAAAATAATAGGAGCTGGGGTTGTGGCTCAGTGATAGAGCTTGCCTAGCATGTGTGAGGCACTGGTTTCGATTCTCAGCATCGCATATAAATAAATGAACAAAATAAAGGTCCATCAATATCTAAAAAAAATTAACAAAAAATAAGATAAAAAGTAAGAAGGGCTGGGTATATATCTCAGTGATAAAGCGTCTCTAGATTCAATCCTCAGTAAACAAT